TGCAAAAGTTTTGTTCTAGGCTGGGGATGGAGTCCATGGGTGGAGCTACCAGGGGAGGAGAGCAGATTTTTTTTTTTACCAGAATCCCACTGTGACATCACAAGGAGAGCAAATTTGAAACAGAGCATTTTTCTCTGTGTTGTAAGACTTATGTAGACAACAAACAAAGGACTGGAGGGATTTATTTCACATTTTGTGGGTCGGTAGACACTCGTATGTTCAAAATCACTGTAGAAGTGGATTTATCAGAACGTGTCCCCTTTAAAACACTACCTGATTTTGAATTCGGGCAGCATCACACATAAGGAGAATCTTAACATATTTTCTTGTCTATCATTTCAAGCATGCACACACCACAAGATAGGAAAATCATGGCACCTCACATACTTGATTTCCCTAAGATTACCAAAGCTGAGGAACGTACCACCTCAGGTGACCTCATGTAAACAAAGTAGCCTGCAGTTAAATTTTCGATTATAATGATTTGTGTCGAGAGGAAAAAAAAACTCCTACATAGGGTGAGAAATGGCTGGCGAAGCGCAGACAACATGGATTGTCTATTATTCAGGAAGAACTGGAGGTAAGATTGTAACTGTCATATGCATACAGTTGTACAACGCACACGTTAGGGTTGTCTCTCCCCGTGGTCGTCTCTACTGTCAACTTATTATTGTCCTCCTTTGTCTCATGGTTATTGTAGTCACACATGACTTCCTCCAGACCCTTTTTATGATTTAACAGTCAAGATTTTAAATTCTAAATATCAAACATGTTTTATTTAAATCGTTGCATCCCCGACGATCTTCGATCAGATCGGAGTCATTAAGCTTGGATATTTATACGACTCACACTACAATATAATCTGGGAAGATGATCGGTGACGAGCAGCCTCGAGTTGGGAACACCCCTGTGATTGTCGGGAAGGGGGAATGGGACCTCAAATCAGTCTGATTATCCTGTGGTCTGAGCCAGGATTTAGATACAAGTAGGGGGGCTCTAAGGAAAAAGGTTGGGAACCACTGTCCTGAAGGACATGCATATAGGCGGAGGTTGTTTTATTCTGCACCCTCTATTTTATCCTCACCACACAAAAGTCTACTTGTACACTTGATTGTGTGTTCAGATGTAAAAATTACAAGTGACACACATTCATTGGGCAATAACACTCACACACATCTGTAATCAGAGAATATGACAGCAACTGCACTTCAGAGGTCCGACTTGCCGCGCTGTTGGTTCTGCAAACATTGATAACCAAAACATGTTGTGATGAACTACCTTCTTAGCTGACGTTTTAGGAGGGAAGCACTAAGAAATCAGACAAATGACTGTTGATTACCAGGTGACCCACAGGTATGGGCCGGTCTACAGTCGATTGGATTGTTTTTCCATTTGTACATGCCGTAAAGTTCTGTGTTTAGGGAGCACTTTTAATACAGATTTAGACAGAACACAGAAACAGGTCAATAGCATTGATATTTCATTGTGTATGTTCACTATGTTTCAAACGCTGCTTCGTCTTTTTTCTGTTCACTCTCACCTTGTCTGCTCTCATGCAGGTAAGAGCTGTAGGCCGGCATGTGACAACAATCATTAGCTTCAAGATAGAAATGTTACAGCCTGCTGTAGACTGTCACTGTAAACTTAACCAATCTCCACTACAGAGCGCTGTGTTGGGTCCAAAAACTGAAGATCCTAAAACTGAAGATCCTAAACGCTAGGGGTAACGGTACACAACATTTTTGGTTCGGTACAGTAAAGGGACCTGATGCAACACTTTTTTTTCTTTATTAGGAACATTTAGAATTTCCCTTTTACACATTGGGCTAAGTGCAGCATCGACAGTTCAGACTTGTACACGTGCTCGGGTTACTTTTTAATAACATTTTAAATTACATTACATTACATTGTAATAAAATAAACTTATGCTGCATCCTTCAACCAAAAGAGTCTCCAATAAATAAAATATATGAATGAAATAAAGCATCTTAGAATGAAATGAAGTAATTAATATAGCCTTAATGTAAAAATATTTATTTTAAATTACACTGACACCTTTTAGTTTATAAAGGCAACAGTTTTTTGAATGCCCTTTGAGCACATAATAAAGCTAATCACATTTGTGACAGTATGGTTTCATCGCAGAACTATTAATATTTCCCTCTGTCGATATAAGAACTTCAGTGGCATTTGTTATGGCTTTGGCCCGTTCAGAATTACTAGCAAAAGGCTGTCTGTTGGGGAGGGAGGGTGTTCATTCTATCATGCTGCAGTTTGTGCTCCCACACAGACGCGTCTCCCCTCCCCTTTTGCACTGCAGCGCTGTTTAAGCGGGATCATCGCTGAAAATGAAAACGAAACTTAAGAGTTAGTCCGTAAAAAGAACTCCCGGTTATATGCAACTGTCCAAACCGACAGCGCTCTAGGGACTAGTAATCTGCACACTTTATGTTTTGACTTTTTTACAACTTACTAACTTAAAGCTGAGTCCCATACCAGCGGCCGCAGCCTCCCTCCACCCTGAGGTGTGCTTCGGCTTTGCGGTACGTGTGGGAACACAGATTAAAGCGCTTATGTTCCGCGCGTACTCGGATCGGTCCGCCTGCGATCCGAGTACTAGCACAGCAAGCGCTGCAGTGCAGCCAGTACACCGACACACACACAGATTTGCTAAATGAACGGTGTGTGCTACATGTTCAGAGATTACTATAGAAATAAACATTACAAAAAAAGTATGGCTCGGTCCTTGTTGGGTTTTTGTGGCTGATACCGATATTAGAGATGACAAATCTGATGCAGACCAGACTAGCTGCACAACTTTTCATCATCATTTCTCCCTCACAACATCATAATCATGCATTTAAAGCAAACTCCTTCAGGAGTGCTCCTCTGATTGAATGACTGATTGAGCTGAACTACCGTATTGTAGTAGGAGTGCAAACCGTACGAAGTGAGAATGGACAGTACTAAAAGAGCGACACAACTGAACTGGAACTGCACTCTGTGGACCTTGCTGAACACAAAATAAATTGTCACACAGGAAGACAGTTTTTTCTCTGTCTGGGAAACCCCCTCAAAATCAGACTGAGTCTTATATACCAATGCCATTTATATTCTGGATTTTAAGGTACTGTTTCTAAAAGGATGCAGTTTCTATATCTCAGTCTGTAGTTCTCAAAATTGAAAGCACTTTCTAAATAAAGAGGGAGTTCATCTGCATCTATTATTATTAATAATAATATGATCATTGGAATTGCAGCAATTTGTAAAGCATAAAGTGGAAAAAAATAGAGGATGTGATGCATTATTAAAATTCCTGGAGAAGCATTTTGATTTCCAGTGACGTTTGAGTCATGTCTAGCTGAGGGGTGGGAGAGTTGTATTGTTGTTGTCTTCTTAATTTTTTGGTCGATCTGAAAAACCGTATTGGTATTTGTGGTTTGTAACATGACGAACCTTCTACATTCTTATTGAGTAATCTTAATATAGCCTTTATATTCTGCATGATCAATTCTGATAGTGCCCTTAGCCTCAGCAGTCAGATGACGGCAGACAGTCGACTCCACTGTTGTTGGCTTTGCTGGAGATGATAGAGTGGGCTGTCTCAGATAATGCTCCGGGCGGCTCATATGACCACTCGGTTCTTAGCTTCATGTGAATGTATTTCAATGTAAACCGTACAAGCAGAGGGCCTGGAATTTGATGTGTGTTGGAGCTCTGCTGTAAGGCCTCATCTTCTCTTCTTGGTGATTTATGATGCAGAAAAACCACATGAAAACACGACTCTTGGTGAACAGACACCCAGAGCGCATTCTACCTCCCTCTGTGCACCATTTCTTTAGGAGAGACATGAGTGCTGTTTCTTAAAGCTCATGATGAAGTCTTTTAATTGCTTGTTTTTGTGCCCCAACAATCAAAAGCCATTTTTAACATGCACTCCTGAACATTTGCCTGTTCACATTCCCACCTCACAGCAGGAGACTTTGTGCCTGTTCAGTTGGGAGGCGGGTCTCAGGTGGCAGGACTTGGGCTGTCATCTTTTTTCAAAGTTCAAACATTTCTTCAATCCTCGGGGAGAAGGTTCACATTGAAACTGTAATGAGCTGTTGAAATTTAAAATATTCAGTCCATCAGTGCACCAGGCCGTCTGAAGGAGTTTAATCCAGCAGAGGGCGCTCTCAGCGTAACTTGACCATTGCATGCACTCTTGACCTCAGTAAATTAAGACTGATGTTGAGGCAAAAGCAATGGGGGCGCGATTCAGGAGATGCACTCGTCTCTCTGCAGACAGTAGTCCACTGCTTTGGTGGAGAGACGCAGAGTCGCTAAATACTTATCTGCAAATATTTGTGAACCAGGAATGTCTGTGCGCTCTGAACGTGTGTTCTCATCAGCAGGTAGTTTTGTGAATAAATAGAGAGCTGCACTTGACCCCAATCAAGCTGATAGACTTTAAAAAAATAATCAGTCCTTTTGGATCCTCAACAGGCTGTTGGCTTTAGGCTCAAAAGGTGAAAGTTATGTCATATTCTTAGAGAGGATGAATGGAATTCAGCTGTCAGCTGCACTTTTGGAGATTTAAAACTGAGTGAGCAGAGAGAGAGAGAGAGAAAGTCAATATATGATCCTCTATTCACCTTTTAGAATAAGAGCTAACGCTAACCATTCATTTCTCTGATCTTTCCTCCTCCAACATTTCTCTCTCTTTGCCGTGGGAAAATGTGGAATTATACCCCATCATCAGTTCATTTCCTATAAATCCCTCCTCGGAGCGTCTTCGAGGGGTTGGTACTGACTGATTTTGAGAAAGAGCCATTAAAGTGCTTTCATATCTTCTTAAAAAAAAACTTGCAGCAGTTAATTTTTGCTATGTTGCTAAAAAAAATAACAGACTCGTGGTCATTACAAGATGAGGAAATGTTTTCTCCTGTCACACACTCTGTTTCTGCAAAGATTGATTCATATTGTCTCTTTCTTTCTTTTTCTTTTTCACCTTCCAGAAGTTTTGTCCCTAAGTCATGGCGGACAGGAGAGCGGAGAAGTCATGTGAAGAAGCCAGTAGATCGTTAACCAGGCGGGAGTACGAGGCGGCAGTCAACCACAGTACTGACGCCTTGGTAGTCCTTGCGCCCCAAGCCCAATCATCCGGTGCCCCTGTCTCGCCAAGCCCTACATCCCTTGTCGCTGCCGCCGCTGGACCCCTACGCAGCCGCGTGCTGCTCTACAGAATTGCTGCCTTCCTGCAGCTGGTGAGGACAGTTACACTGAAATGATGTAGTCTGACAATTGTGCTTTAAGTCCACTGCAGTTCTTTTCATCTCTTGGTAAATTAGCTTGAATAATGCTCAATCCTACATTCCTACTCCATGGTTCTGTTATTTAATCTACCCAGAGCTCTTCAATTACACAACACACTTAAGACTTAAGATTATGGAAACTACTTAAATGCTATAATGATAGTGTGAGGAACTCCACTGTGAGGTAAAGATAGCCTTTCCTGGAGCTTACGTCATCTCTGACCCTCAAAGTATTCCCGTCTGTTATGGCGACCACTTCTCAATGTTCTCTCTTCTTCTGCCAACAGAAAAACTATGATGAAGCAGATGAAGACTGCAAACATGGTGAGTAGGAAGTCAAAGTGGAACCATCTGCTGATATTGTGTAAGCTGTTTTCACATATGCATCTTGAAAATCTCTCGAGAATTTCAGGAGGACTGGAAATTTTCTAGAAACGCCCAATAAAGTTGAAGTGGAAAAAAAAATCAGCTGTTTGTGTTAATGATGCAAAAAGTTAAGTTAATGTCTCTTAGGGCGCACGCACACTAGGTAACCCTTACCGTGCCTGAGCATACTTCACCCTAAAAGTCTGTTTGACTAGTGTGAGTGCTCGATCCGTGCTCAAGCACAGCACAATTCATGCACGAGCACGAGAAAGGTTACACAACGTGGACAGCCATGTCAGTGTTACGGCTGTATCAAACTAAAACGACTCAAAATAAGACACAAAGTCAGACACGGACTCGACTGCGCGTCCCTTTCATTTTTTTTTTTTTTGAGTCTGTCTGTCTTGTAAACTAAGCATGCTTCATGATCACGTAAAGCCATTCATGTGTTGTATTACAAGAGGTAACCATGCTCAGACCTGGTTGGGCCTGGAGCAGTGTAAGTGCAGACCAGCGGTTCACCTGGATGTGTTACATCATTCTTTCAGCTTGAATACAGTACTCATTGAATTATTCACAAAGTGTTAAACTATAATCTTGGAAACAGACATCAAAACAGCCAATTTAGTATTTTTTTTAAAAACCTAACTAAATGTACTAAATCCATTTTTTTTATTCTTTCTCCCGCTGTAGTCATGGCAGAGGAGATGTCCAGGGGGGACGGGTCACTACAGTCCAGCCTGCGCTCCATGCTGTTGGATGGCAGCCTGCAGGAGGTGGTCAGCATCCTCTCCAAAGCCTTGTATGGAGAACAAATGGTATGATAAATGGTTTTAACGTGTACAATTTTAAAATAGTGTCGCTGTGTCTTTTCAGGACATGGGAGGTGCACATATTGATGGTTAATCAATAATACTGTCGATCAATTTGAAATGAATGTAATAAATCACATATATTGCTATGCGAAAGATTCAATTACAATTAGATGTCCTGCACGCACACGCGCACACAGGAACGCCAGCCACCACACGCACACCCATGAAATTTTGGTGCAACAGAAAAACAGTCTGTAATCCGTGCCGACCAAATCTGTAAATTGGGAACACATGTGATCCGGTCAAACTTTTCTCCGTTCAAGCTCAATGTGTCTGCATTCATCAACAAACAGTAACTTATAGTGCTGGTGGCACAGTGGTTAGTGTGAGTACCCCATATATGGATAGTCCTCAAAGTGGGCGGCCCAGGTTAGAATCCAGCCTGTGGCTCCTTTCCCCATTCTCTCTCTCCCTCTCTGATTTCCTGACTCTATCATCTGTCCTATCTCTCCAATTAAAGGCACAAAAAGCCCAAAAATAAATCTAATAAAAAAACAAAAAAATAAATAAACAGGAACTTAATTATTACCACAGCCTACTGTAGTGGTGAACTTAACCACACACTGTTATATTCAAATACTGAAGATGAAGTGTATACTGCATCCAGTCATTCACACAGAACCTCTTAACGAACGGTCTGTTTATGCCACGTGTTCAACTTTTTCAAAGCTAGATCTAAGAAATACAACTTGTTTTTTTTAATTCACTGACAGATATTTGGCTTATTATCCTCCTCCTCCTCCTTCTCACCTCCCACGCAGTGTTCCCTCAACTCCTCCTCATCTGCTCAGTCTCTGGTATCACATTGTAGACCCCGGTGTTAGAATCCTACACTCAGAGTTTTTATTGACTAGTACGAGTGCTCTGTACCTCAAGCACGGGACACTTCCTCTGCCCTTGCACGGTTAGAAGATCTATCTCTAGATCAAGCTCGACACCGTACGGGGCGACAGGAACCGCGCGAGTGCGTCCTTAAAGAGCACTCTTAAGTACAAGACGTGTACTTGAGGAGCCGCTTGGAAACTCTGGAGGAGGAAGAGAAAGTTTTTAATTTGCTGTTTTGTTTTGTTTCACTCACTGTTGCTGAGCTTTCCTGTTCAGGGGTCTGCACATGTCATGTTCCTTTGTTTTCATTCAGTCTCTGAACCGCAGTGTTTCCCACAGAATGACTCAATACCTGGGCGGTGGCGTGCCCCAAAAAAAAAACCTCTAGTCTTAAAAGACAAACTTCTACTTAGAGACTAAAGAGGGACAGGGACAGTAAATAGGAGAAAATATTCACGCTGAGCAACACAACACATTTAAGCACTATTAAATGCATTAGACAAAAGGTTGAAAGTTTTAATGTCTGAGGTATGTGTCACACATCTCCTCCCATAGAGCTGCAGATACTCAAACTTTCTGTAGAATAGATTTTAAATTTGGGGTGAAAGATATCTGAGAACTATGAAAGTATGAAATCACAAAGCATGATATTGAGGTTTATTCTGACATACAGACGGACTCCCAAATTGCATCCCGATGATGTAATGAAAGTCTTTTTTCTTCTTTCACAGAATGGCATCGTCACAAAAGACATGAGCAGATTAAAAATGCTTTTCTCAGAAATCGAGGTAAGAGCTGCAAACATTACTGCTGTGCTTTCTGTCCTCTTGTTCCTGCCTCTCTGTGCTTGTTTGTTTTACAGACGATGGTTCAGTGCTCACAGGCGAGGGCCATAAAGATGACTAATAGCCTAATTCCACTGCTAACTTCATTATTTTGTGCTCCTCTGTCTAGCTTGTAGCTATTGTGGATTTATTACTCATTAATCTGCAATAAGTCCACTGGTCCAACTGCATGTTTTATGCTTTTGTTAGTAGCTCACATAATCATTGTACCCTCGTCTGCACCCATTAACCCCTGAGTTTGGTCTCTGGCAGGCTATAAACAGGGAGATGGCACCAGAATACACAGATGACCAGGAGGAAGGTGAGCAAATCTGAAGCGTGACTCCTTTATTTTCCTACTTCAATATCAACACAAACATTTATTAAAATACTAAGAAGGTTTAAAAGCAAGATGAAGCCGATCGTTTAATCTCCGTGTGGCTTTTCATTCACAGAGGTCCAAGATGGATGGCAGTTCCGGCCTCCGCCCCGAGGAGTCACCAGCAGTGAGGAGTACACCCTCTGTAAAAGGTAATACATAGTGGCTGTGTCTGAAATCACAAACTCCTCCACTTATCCTGACCTCCCACGTGGGGAGTTCTCTGTAAAAGCAAGATAAAGTGAGCTCGTCGGCACTATACAATAGAACACTGTTAGACAATATGCCATATATTATTGGCAGACACCTAGGATCAGTGATAAATAAAGGCATGTACTTCAGGGATAACTTCTATTATATCGAGGGTATTTTCTCAAAATAGTTCATTATAATAGTATAAAGAACCCAGAGCCACCCAACCCTCCACTACCCAGTAGATTCCTCTCAACCACTGCTGCCTTAGCATATATCACACATCATGCACACACACCCAGGCTCAGGACAACATGTCTGCATGTGCCCTGTAAAATGGGGGTCCTCTGCCTCAGCTGCCACCGCTGAACCCCACAAATTAGAAGAAGCCCGCCTCCAGTGCGTTTTTGTGGTTTGTAGTTAAGTTTGGGAAGCTGTACCTTGCATATGTTTGTTGTGCTTAAAGATATTATGTACAACACGTAGTTACAATTGTCACAAATCTTTTGTCTTTTCATTCCGATAACTACTGATTTATTTCTGATAAATAAAATCTTCTGTCACGGTGGTAACAAAGCTAGTACTAACTATACAAGCTATCAAAACAACATCAAAGTTGTACTGGCTGTCTAATTCAATATTTTTAGAATGGGGGATGCTGTATCTAGCGCCTCTTGCATTCTGCATTTTCACCGTGTTACTTATGTATTTTTGACCGTTGTCTTTTTACTGTCTTGTTCTGTTGCCCTTTTTCTGTCTTGCCGCAAAACCAATCGCTCTTCAGGGACAAATAAAGTTGAAGGAGGTGCTTTACTAAGTACTCCTTTCAGCCCCAGTTCAGCACTCTGTTTGTCTTTGCTGTAGGTTCCTGGAGCAGGGCCTGTGTCGGTATGGGGCTCAGTGTACGTCGGCGCACTCGCAGGAGGAGCTGATGGAGTGGCAGAAGCGCTACGCGTCGCGCCTCATCCGCCTAAAGCAGCAGCAGGAGAGCAAACACTTCACCGAGAACTACATGGAGACGCTGATCGAGAAGTGGATGAACTCCCTCTCCCCAGAGAAAGTGGTGAGTGAGCAAGCCATTGAGGGATAGAAAAACAAACTTACAAATATTGTGCCAAGGCACGAGATCTCCTCCTAGAACAGCTACACAAGAACACATATGGGAGGAACTATGAAAAGCCTCTCTAAACTTTGTAAACCCCAAACCCACCCTGACGTTGTTAAGCTGGTCGAGTTTTGTTTGCTTAACTAAACCCAGGAGAATTTCTTCTTCGATATGATAGTAAAAACGATATGGATACCTGTCTTTCTGCAGCAGTCACTAACATAGCTTATGCAACTTTATGATTTATCAAAGGAACTTGAATAAATTCTGTGAACATAGCTGCAGACATGTGAATGATGACAGTCTGCTGTGTCTTAGTTGTATGGGAGCTGCAGAGTTCTGACAGAGGTAAAGAGACACTCAGTGCGGACAGGATGAAATTCTGCATGTAAACACAATTCATTCCTCTTTGTTCTCAAGAGTCTTAACTACTGATAAACAATCAAATTTTGCTTTGTTGTCATTATTGGCGCTCGCCTCCTCCTTCCCCCGTCTTTGTCACTAGTACACTGCACTGCTCTCGCTCTCTTTTAAGCCAGCAGCAGTGTCGGGTTTCAATCAATCAATCATCATTATTTGTATACGCCAATTCATAACAATTGTTATCTCAAAACGAGAGCGGATAAACGATCATACTCATTGTTAAAAAAAATGGGATTGGGGAGATGGGATCTGATACAGGAAGGATTTCTCCTTTGTTTTCCTCACTGGTCCACACTTCCTCCCTGCTGAGGTGGAGGTCGCAGCAGGCTGTGCATGAATGAGGACGGCGCTGGTTGTGGGGACGACACAGTCCGATGGTGGTGGCTGGGCTTCAGGGACGTCGGGCTTAAAGATGACTGTAGATTTGTTCTTCTCCCCCTTTGGTCATAGAGTTTAAATCGTTTTAAGTATCGAAGCATCAAATACTTGTTACAGTGCCTGATGATGTTTGTGTGTGGTTTTTTTTTTAAATCTTTTTCAGCTAAGTGACTATTTAGAAGGTGTGAATGTAGAAACCAGCTCCGGCCTCTCTGTGACTGTCACCACTAAAAAGTCCTCCCACTCTTGGACCTTCTCCTTACTGTGCAAGGTAGGCAAAAAGTTGATTTCATGAACGTAAACATAATGTGTTGATCATCTTTGCCAGTCGCACTGAAAAATGAAAAAAGTTCTTTGGTCTGAACATCTGTGCTTTCTCTGATTATCTTCTCTTCTGTCTTTCTGACCAGCCGGCCAGGAAGCTGTACAGAATCGCCCTGCTCTACGATGCCCATCGACCACACTTCTTCATCACAGGTGTGTCAGCAGGAGAGCGGCTGCAAGCCCTCCCCGCTGGCTGCCAAGAGTGGACTCCAGGAGAGGAGACAGCAGGTTCGTCTTGAGTCCACATTTTCTAACCAGGGAAGGGACGGTCTGTTAGGATACCGTGGAGTGATTTCACACATGCACCTCACAGCGGGAGACCATCTATGTCGGGCAGGACTATTTCTATTTCTATCGGGCAGGAGGGGGCTGGGGGTTTTGAACTGAATCAGAATAACAAAAGAGCGGGGAAGAAAATTCTGATGGAAAGAAATCATAATGCAGCAGTTTAATTACATGCATGAAGATCCCATCGGTTGTGTGCAATCTATGGTTGTGCACTATTTGCAGTGAATTTACGTCACCAGCCCCTTACAACTGTGCGAAATTCTTCTGATAATATCCTGCTGTGTTCTCACATCAGCTCACTCCGACTTTCACTGGGAAAGATACTAGGAGGCTGGCAGGAGAAACTCTGGATAAAGTCAGCTGTTTGCATTCACAGATGTGTCTCACCCCGACAACTTCAGGAGTTTTGTGGAGGTCTGAAAAAGCTAATATGAGACGCATCACAATACTGGATTTTCCGGCAAACAGAAAACATAATGAAGCGGTTTGATCCTCTGCTGCTTTCACATATTCACTCACCCTGACATCATGCGGAACATTTCTGAGGCGATTTCTGGGTAAAGAGACGGGGTTAAAAAATGTGGCTGTTAGAGCGCAGTTTGTGAAGCAGCTCACCCCGAAAACTTGAGGAAATTTTCAGAAGTTCTGTGCATGTGTGGCAACACCATGACCCGGTGAAACCAAATGTTTACAGGCATTGACTACAGTGATGTTGCTTAGGATGCAACTGTTCTTACATTTATTTGTGCGGTTAATAATTTGATTTTTGCCACGCCCAGCTGCACTCTGCAAATTTTAATGATGTTTCTTGAATTGGGTTTAAGTTTCTTCATACATTTGCCTGGCATTTGCAGGCTTCTTGAAATTGCAACCTGTGTTGTCCATAGTTTGCCTTCTTCTTTATATGTGATTAATTGAATCGTGTTATCTTTTGCTAAGCTTAATGAATTAACTCTTCCCTTTTCTGTTCTTACAGTGGCAGCAGACAATGGCCTGGACCACTGTGTCTACAAGGTGTCAGTGGGCTTCAGCACAGAGATCTTTGGTACCTTCAGACAGACCGCTGTGTTTGACTTTGGCTCCGAACCTGTGCTGATGCAGCGGATCATGGTGGATGCAGCCTCCATTGAAGGTATGCTTTCTAATGCTCATTTTCTGTTCAGACAACATTCGGTTTAATGAGTAGATGAAGCTATAAATGTTTTCTGCACCCGTCTCGTCCTCTTTTCTCAGACCTAGAGCACCTGATGGCGGCCAGGCAGCAGCTCTTGATAACGGCAAAGCGCTGGGACTCGTCCTGTAAGACCATCGTAGAGTTTGTCCCCAATGAGACGATGGCTGACCTGGAGCGCAGCCTCCTCTCCCGCTATCAGATCCCTCTGTCGGCCGACCAGCTCTTCACCCAGTCGGTCCTGGACAAGACTCTTACCAAAGACAACTACCAGGCCCGACTGCACGACCTGCTCTACATAGAAGAGATCGCACAGTATAAGGAAGTCAGCAAGTGAGTTATAACAAGTGTTCATGATCTGACCTAAAAAAATCAGCTTCAACATAAAAATTGATATAAGGGAATTGAAAAACCAAGAAAAGCCTGAAAATGGTATTTAAATACTTAAAAGTAGGGATGCACTGATGCGTTGGCTCAACATCGTATCAGCCGATACTGGCCCTGGCGACACTGATCGGCACATGATGTTGCATGAGCTGATGTCTGTAGCCGATATTTATTTGTTGTGCCAAATGGATTTAATCCTGGCATCTAGAACTTCTGATTCAGATCAGAGATGTTTTATTGGGTAGATGAAATCACCTGTTGGACAAACTCTGACATGTTTTCAGTTTCAAACGAGAGGAAATGTCGGCATTTTGGGTGTCTTACACCAAAAAAGTCATGAAACAAACATCGTAATCAGCAATTGTTTAAATTGTTATTTGAAACATTAGTATCGGTATCAACCTTGATTTTTCCAAGGTTAGGTGGCTTGCTCAAGGGCACCTGGCAGTGTTCAGGAAGTGAACTAGCAACTTCACCTGGATCAAAACACTGATTGGTCGAACACTTGTCCAACCGAATCAATGGAAATTTGAAGAAAAAAAAAAGACCCATATCGTCATCTTTAAGATACGCCTTTATTTTATAATTCTTGTTTGACGGTTTCCGCCCTGCTGCACGTCAGCCTGAACCTTAAGCTAGCAGCAAGCAGACATTAGCAGGCCCAGGTTAAGAGGATGGATTTGATATGAACTTCCTCTCTAGGGGAAAAAAAACAGCGGTGTGGAACTATTTTGGACATCGACTACACCTTGGCAGACTTCCCAGCATTATTTACACAACATTTATGGGTCTTTTTATGTTGTCAAAAGAATCGATTTAATATTGTTTGGTGATATAAGTGAGGATAGGTTGAGCTAACCCCTTAACGATTAACAAAAATCGACTCTAAAACACCACAGGGTGACGGTGAAGGGAAGATAACATAACCTTATATGACACCATAAATATTTACATTTTACAAGGATTCATTTTATTTAAGAATAACTATAATATGATAGACTTGTATAGCGCTTTTTCTGAATACTCAAAGACACTTAAAACAACAAGAAAACAATACAAAGAAGAAATTATCTAAGAGAAGGAGCACGACAACAGACCCTATCTGCAGCTGAGTGGTGTTAATATTTAGTATGTCAACCCACCACAAGGTGTCAGGCTTGACCTTCATTAGGGGGTTTTGCTATGAGAGAGAGAGAGAGAGACAGAGAGCGAGCGAGCAAGCACACACACACACACACACACACACACACACACGCACGCACGCAGCTTGGCTCTCATTTCCTGTGCAGTTTAATGTTTTTTTTTTTCTGAGGTGATTCCTTCAAGGAGGGGAGACGAAACAGTTTAGTCTTCCTGCAGAATTACACTTTTTTTTATTATAATTGCATGTCTTTTACGTCTCCTTTTTTTTTTATCCGCTGTCTCTCCGAAACGTGATAATGACTTCAGATTAAATTACAGTCAATTCAAATTCTTCCAGTTTAGTGGCTCCCTTCCCCCCCCAAAGGATGTGTAGCTCTCCTCTCTGCTCTTAGATCTTCTCACCTCATGACTCGCTCTGTCACTCGCTAAGGGATTAAACTACAGATGTCTTTCTCCGATAACCAAACGTTCTTTAAAACTTGCGGCATTAAATGTGCACATGAATAATCTCGCCACCTATTAAGCCATATATGGGAGCGGCGGGCAGGCTTTAACACACTTCATGTCTGATCGACTTTCAGCAGGGGGTTTCCAGTTTAGTGTGGGTTCCCCTGCGAGAAGCATGCACGTTTAAATCTGCAAATGCATAAAATTACAACCTAAAACTTTAACAAATATCCCCATTAGAGTTTCTCCCTGAGTGATATAACACTAGATTTATTTCTTGCCTCATGAGAGTGACTTCTTCCTGCTTTATCAGGAAAACGTGAGAATGCCAGATAGTCTGAAGAGAACAAAATGTACTTTGCTCTGTCAAATGTTCATCCTCTCCATGAGTCTCACCACAAAACGGATGCAAAACCATAACAAGAGAACCACAACAAGAGTCTGTTTTAATTTTGACTACAACTCATCTCTGCTTGTCCGTCATCCGTCGGAGTTCATAACCACAATTTCCTGCTGTTTCATCATCTCACATCCAGCTATCTGGAACAGATATCGAATATTTTACCCCTGGTGAACTAGTGGTTATTTTGCGTCCGCGTCTCTCTCTACCTTATTTCCAGCTCTATCCACTGTTCTGTCTCTCCCCAAAAAATAAAAAGTATAACAGACGACATCACATTTCTCCTATCCTCGCTTCCCTCCACTGGCTCCCTCTCTGTTTTAGAAGTGATTTTCAGATTTTACTCATAACTTTTTAAGCTCGTCTGGGTCTTGCCCCTATTCACACAGCTGAATTGTTGACCCCTTAAGAGCCATCTCGTGACCTCAGATTCTCAAGTGGGACCCTTCTAGTCATTCCAAAGTCGAGACTTTGCCGCCAGGGCCACCCGACTTTGGACCTACCAACCTGAGGAGATGAGGCTCGCAGAATCAGTAGCCCCTTTTTCCGATTTTTTTTTTTTCCAGAAGTGCTGTAACCGAACTCAGCCGTCATCACGCCTTTGTACATTCATATTGATTCAGAAGAACGGCACAGCGGGAGCTTCACATAGAAACACAGTCAGTCATGCATGCTCACTCTCTCTCCCGCTGGCTCTGCTGAAACCATCTTGCCTCTGTAACACCTCTGTTAACACCTCAGAAGAAGGTACAGAGGTGGGATCACGTTGTCCCCCCCATTACGCCTGACTTTCAGATTGAAGGCGAAACATCACAGGGGCGGGAGACGTTGCAAAGACAAACATTCAGATTTTGGATCTTGGTTGAAGAATTCTCACAATATAATATTCCTGTGATTGCTATGTTGTTGTATTTTTAATTCATGTTCTTCAACAGGATAACCACACATCTTTGTTTGTTGCAGGTTTAACATCAAAGTGGCTCTGCAGCTCGTCACCAGTTTTATGCTGACCGGCATCTCTGTTGGAGCCAAGTACGCTCAGAACGGGCAGCTCTTTGCACGCTTCAAACTCACTGAAACACTTTCTGAGGTAACCAGATCTGGTTTCCAACGTTTCCCTTTACAGTTTGCTTATTGTTGACACGTAGAGCCATGTGGAGTTAGTAAGCCCTCCTGAAGTTACCCCTTTTCTCTTCTGTCAGGACACACTGGCAGGGCGACTTGTGATGACCAAGGTCAACTCTGTTTTGGTGCTGCCGTTGGGCCGTGAGGGTTTCTGCAGTCAGCCGCCTCCCGGGGTCAAAGAGCGTGTTTATGAGGCTGTGATCGAGGAGAAGACCAAGGACTACATCTTCCTGAGGATCTGCAAGGAATGCTGCGAGGAGCTGGGGCTAATACCTGACAGAGAAATACAGGTAGAGACCACACAAAGTTACATAAGGCGTCTTTTTTCCTGCTGCAACAACCAGATTTTATATCCGACTTATGGAATGATCTTTGTTAATAAAACACAACAATATAAAACAATCAAAACAAACGGAGTGAGAGGTTAAAATAAAGGATCACAGGAAGGCTATAAGAGCACATAACTTATCGTGCTGCAGTAGGAAGCTTTTCTTGCTCTCCAGGTGGGCGGTTTCTTAAGTGTGTGACGTCACCTGAAAGCTATGTATACGTAGGTACTGTAGAGTCGCATCATTTCATTGTGTCAGTATGGAGCTGTCAGTGTTTTTTTGCACTCTCAGGGCATATGTTTCTTTACAGTGTGCTAACTTCCCCATACCTTCAAAGTCCACATATAAGTCTTGTGAACCCTAAGGACACACTCACACTAAGCAATCCGTACCCCGCCTAAGCATGCTTTATCCTCAAAGTTCAGTCTGTTTGACTAAAGTGAGTGCTTCGTTCTGTGCTCAAGCACGCTACACTTCCCTGGCCCTGGCACGGTTGGAAGAGTTGTGCTTTGGCACGGCACAGTCCATGCATGAGAACAAGCCCGGGTACACAACGTGGACATGACGTATAAACGATCCCCGCCTCCATTATCGAGAAATCCCAGAGTGTTCTGGCTGTTTCTGACGAAAATGACAAAAGTCAGTAAAGTAGCTGTCATGTTCTTAGAAGTGTGGACGGAGACTCTCCCACTAGTCCCTTTTTTATTTATTTAATTTTTAATACGTCTGTCTTGTAAACTAAGCACGCTTTATGATGACGTAAAGCCATGCATGTGTTGTATTAAGACGTTCTGTACAAGAGGTGGAGTAGTGGGAGTGCAGTCCAGCGAGGGGAATGGCCTCATGTGAGTGCGCCCAGAGACTTTAGTTCAGGCATTTATCCATCTTGATAAAAACTTTCAAGGGGAAAGGTTTCATTATTAGCCCTGGAAGAAAAGATGACGATCTTTGTAGGAGAACGAGTGTCCTCATCGGTCTTTTAAAGCAGTGACCACACTGCTTTTCATTAAACGACTCCACCTTCTGCTGCTCGGTTTGATGTGTGTGTGTTTTTTTCTCTCTCCCCTTGAGACTGAATGTCTTCAGATGAAGCAAAGCTCTTTGTTAACAGTTATCAAAACAACCCTCGTCCAATCACTGCAGGAGCATAATCTTTTTATTCTTCCTCGTACACTGCTCCTGCCTGCTAACCCGCCGCCGTTTCATTTCCCTATCTCCTCCGTTGGTTCAATAATATTCCACACAGCCCTGAAGTTTTGTACTCTCCTCGCTCTTTCTTATCTCAGACTTTTCCTGCTCCGTTATTCATCCTCCGTTTCTCTCTCTCTCTCTCTCTCTCTCTCTCTCTCGCTTTGTCTTTCTTCCTCACTTTCTGTCGTATTGAGTTCAAAGTTCTTTTTCACATCTCATTTATTTTTCTCTGTCTTCGTCAGATTTCCACACTTTTAACCTGAAGTCAGAGCACATTTTACAGAACACCTGTTAGGAGCCTGTCGCTGTCTTCTGTTACACGGCAAGGCCTCTAGCAGTGGAAACACAATCTGAGCAATTGCATAAAGAAATGGTTGAACCAACGGATTAAATAGAAATGAAAATGGCCCACAGCTTAACAAGAAATCACAGTTAAAGAAGACAGCTGTTCAACCTGCTCAGCTGTGGAAAAAAACTATGCAAACTTCCTTCATGCAACTATTTCTTAAAGGTCACATATGCAAAATACTCAAGGTAGCTCCATTTCCTCCAAGCAGTCTGATTCAGTTCGGCTCTGTGCGCATTTATTGGCATTTCCACTGTCAGTTTGGAATGATACCAAAAGAAGAGATCCATACTGTCCTTATTTTTTGCAGCCCTTCTGTTGGGGTGCCAAGCGTACCATTCTGACCCTTAAGGGTGGAGCCAGACACACTGCAGTCTGCTGATTGGTTGAAAGATTTGTCACTTCCTGTGCTAACAGTGCTAATAAAGGACAAACGCAAAGCAAGCTATGTCTAATTATACCGTGGGTTTCGAGAGAGTAATTTCAAGGGTGTTTCTGAAAATGGCACTGCCCCATAGTCGACCCTCAGAGGTGTTGACCTCTGCTGGACATTGTTTATTGTTGCCTTTTTTTTTTTTTTCTTTACTGTATTTCTTTATTGAATTTTTTGGCGGGTTACACTGTTTTGCGCTGCTATGATGTGATTCTATCATGCAGCTGATGCGCCTATTGCTAGCAGGCTTACACTTGTTGCCAAGTAAGGGTACGGATGGCTGTGGAACGCATGCAAGGCCAGGACCAAACTGGACTGAACCAAACTGGACCGCTTGATGGAAAGGGGGCTGTTGTAAACCAGAAATGGAGGACTTCCTGTTGATCCTGCTTTTTGCAGCCCTTTTATCTCAAGACTATTTCCATGCTTTGAAAGTAATGCATTGCTTTGACAGTATTGTTGGCCTGTAGGAACATAAATTAAAGTGGGCAGAGAAACAGTTTTTTTTGGTTTTTTTAGTTGTTTGATTGCTTCGTTAACTCTGTCGTGTCAGGTGGAGCTCCAGTTCCAGCTGAACAGACTGCCGCTCTGTGAGATGCACTACGCCCTGGACCGCATCAAAGAAAACACCATCCTTTTCCCTGATATCGGCCTTGTACCCACAATCCCATGGAGCCCCAACAGGTGTGTATTCCAACATCACAGACACATGGCACGTGCAACACTAGAGGTTTTTTCTAATCTTTTTTTGCTTTTTGCCTCTGTTGGTTTAAGTGTCTGAGAATAATTTATTTGTCAGAGTATAAAACATACACATTTTCCTTTAAACAAATCAGAAAAAAGTAGGATCCGGTTACATTCTAGACTTCAATGGCCAATTTAAGTTCAGATGGAGCCACTTACCTGTAAAGCAAGTGAAGCGCTCACCACTGAGGCCAGCTGTTGCTCACAGATGCACCGCAGAGAGATTGCTGAGACTCAAAAAATAGGTCAAGTTTACCAACAACTGAGGCGGAGCTACGATGACAATTTTATGATACTGGTTATCAATGCAGAAGAGTCATTAAACAACTCGTAAGCACCTAAGAAATAAGGTGTTATGGGGTGTAACACCATAACACCTTATGTAATGTTGTCCCCTAAAAGACTGTTAATAACCCCAACCCGACCTCAACCATTTGCTGCATTTTATCCTCCACTCTCCTCTCCAAACATGTCCTGCCTATCTTCACCTGTCCTGTCCAAACCCCCCCCCCCCCTGTTTTTTATTAAGCATTGAAGAAATGCTCGATTGTGTCATGCTGTGTGGAAAGGAACTTTCTTTCATATTACAGATGATGATGCTGATCAGCTGATATACAACATTTATGAGAGGCAACATTTAACACCATTGAGACATGCGGTGATATTTAAACACAGCATGCGCTCATCTTAATGCAAAGAAGAAAACTAAAGATACTTGTCTCAGGCCTGCACATCATATCAGCCTGACAAATCCCCTGACGAGGGAAGGGGAGGGGCACCACATCAATTTGAGAGTTGACCGTCTACCCGCCACCTTGCTGACTTGGCGGCCATTCAGAAACTCTGGCAGCTTCTCCCAGCTTTGTATTATCTGTTAAGTTGGACAGGTGAGGGGAGGGAGCCACTAATCTTTATTGACTAGAGCCAAATATAATCCTCAGAGGGGTTTTTTCAAAGTTGCATCTTTAACGAGGCTCAAGATGATGATTGGTGGACACTTTTGTTTTAATTGGAATTTGAATAAGTGAGTGTTTCATTAAATGTGGGCCAATGAGTGAGTTTAGCTGAAGTTTAAACATAAAGTTTCTGTCTTCCTCTGAATGCTGAAGCGCAGTGTGTTGATCTCGTTTGGAGTAAAGTTGGTTTCCTTCTCATCCACTGCCCCTGTTAAACACACACACACACACACACACACACACACACACACTCACACACTCTGTAACACCGAGATTTCTCTCAGCACCCCCGACCTTGTCTCAGTTGGAGCTCAATCAATTGGTGTTGGTGGATTCCCAGCCTGTGAGGATGATTTGTAATGAGGACAGGGATGCTAGAAGACAGAGCACACAAACGGACATGCGCACTTTTCATACGCATTTGAACTCACATATGTGACTCCATCCTTCCTTTAAACACATACACCCACCCCTGTCCAGTCTTTAAAGTATGTTTTTTTCTATGAGGTTTCTGTATGTCTGTTACAGGTTAAAGGTCACATATTGTCCTCTTCTTTAACAAGTTTAAATAAGTCTCACAGCTCTTCAAAATGTGTGTGTTAAGTTTCTTGTTCTAAATCCACTCTGATCCTGTATTTGATCATGCCTATAAACCCCTCTATTTCAGCCCTGCTCAGAACAGGCTGTTTCTGTGTCTGTACCTTTAAATGTTAATGAGCTGTGTCTGACCACACCCCCTCTCTGGAAGGGCTTGGGTGGCTCTGGCTTTCTTGCTCCATGTCCTATTGTTTACAGAGAGAAGGCAGACTCAGAGGGCAGAACAAACACCTAGCTGTGGGAGTGTCACCCACCTGGGAGAGGGTTTACTGCCCTTTGTGATGTCATGACTTTTCTCATCATTGGGGGGTTTGTAGATGGACTTGAGACCCATATTAGTGTTAGAGAAACATGGTGAAGTGGATTTTGAATATATGTGACCTTTTTAAAGTGTGTCAGCCATCTTTCCTTATCTTTATATTTTTATTTTATAAACATAATCGTGGGAGTTGTTGTCATGTTAAATAAATGATTAGCTAAGGTTATTCCTAAAGCTATAGAGGAATCTGGTGGACAATGGTGGCCGTATTTGTCTAATATTCCAAGTGCTTTTGTGGTTATAACTCAATTCTTTATCTAATTTCTTGAAACTCGCTACCATGGAGCACTAATAAGAATAAATCTGTAGTTTAAGTTGATTTAATGTTTCTCATAATAATTTCCTCACCCTTCCTCCACCCTCAGGCAATGGGACGAGCAGCTGGATCCCCGTCTGAATGCCAAGCAGAAGGAGGCCATCCTGGCCATCACCACACCCCTCACCATCCCCCTGCCCCCCATCCTCATCATTGGACCCTACGGCACTGGAAAGACCTTCACCCTGGCCCAGGCTGTCAAGCACATCCTCCGCCAGGACACCAGCAGGTCTGTTTGAGTGTTTTTATTCCAGATTTGTTGCGTTATTTCAACATCTGTGGACAGTTTCTCGTCTCCAGAAAGAGCTCTTCATGATGTCTCTGTCTGCAAAACATTTTCTCGATAATACTGATTTGTGATTCATCAAGAATCATGAAATGGCTCGAAGCAAATTCAGCAACTCCAATATTGATCCTAGTTTGAGCATGTTTCTGCTCGTGGAGCTTATTAGAAACATGCAGAGGCTTTTTAGGTCGGGTACAATCACTTCTATCTGAACCAGTTCTCTTGCCCGCTTCCATCGCTGCAACACCTGTTGGTTTGATCTGATAACTGCTCTCATATCTGACAAACAGAGGGGCGTCCAAAACAGCCATGTGGGGTTGTCTTAAAACCGCCTACCTTCTCTGGTCCAAACAAATCCAGAGCATTCAGGAGCAGAATCTAAAGTTAGAAGGAGGACATACTGGCTGCTGCATTGTTGTCAGAGAAGCCACCACTTCAACATAGCATGTTTCCTTAATGTCTGATCATATAGTAAGGTCACTTTATCATTTCACTCACTACACATCTCACTGATTGAACCTTTAATCACAGGATTAATTAGTTGTGTGATGTCTGATCATACATCCGTTCATAGCTGTGTTGTAAACTAGATGAAAAAAAGAAGTCAAAAATGTCATGGGCTTTTGATTTGTATTCTTTTATTCATCTGAGGGATGAACGAAGGATAGATCAATAAGACAGTCTGCCCTCTACTGAGAAACACACACACACACACACACACACACACACACACACACACACACACACACACACACACACACACACACAGACAGAGGTGCATCCATCTTGGAATACATCTCTTGAATTGCAGTCTTAACCGATTACCATAAATCTCCTCCTGTCGCTGTTTCAAAAGTTTGTAAGAAGTTCTGATGATGCGTTCAGAAGCACGTTCTTTTTGATCGTCACGTTATGCCATCGACAAGAAGCTTCCTTCAAGAGTGCGTCACATGCTTTGAAATCTGATTCACTTAGAAAAACCCAAACTTTGACATACAAAACAGTGATTGTGGTGGAGACAAGCGGAGAGAGGGGCGAGACGTGCAGCCATATGCAGAGGACAGAGGTGTACAGGGTGATGCAGTAAATCTACCTGGAATGTAGTCGGTCTTTTCTTGTCATTAATATAAAGGTTTGATGAAATACTTCACTCTCCTCTCTACGATGCCAACCAATTCACAGCTTCATGTTTTAAACATTACTGAGATACTGTTTTTCTCTTTTCTCAACGATACAACAACGAACCGTTTCATCATTTATGAAGGTGTAATTGAGTGTTAGTGATGGAGTGTGTTTTAAAGGAGCCAGGGGTGATGTTGCTGTGAGCAGGTGTGTGTGTGTGCCTGGAATTTGCATCAGCCATAAAAGCTGCGGAGCAGGAGGGGAGGTCAGTGAAAGGGCGTGAATGAGGTGTCAGGGGACGCTGGGATGTGCAGTGGTCTCAGTTTTAGCTTGCGGGCAGTGGCAGCCTTGGGTTTGACATTTAAAGTTTTGGAAAACATTAAGCTGCAAAGTGTCAAGCTGTGGTTTCACCGTGTGGACGTGCATGTGGCATCACAAGATGGCGAAGAGTGCTGGTGATTTGGATGAATTTGTTTCATTTGTGGTCGCTGAACGCGGTCTAGTTTAATTATGAGCACATTTCCTGGGCTGGAATGGACCGTTATCTTCTCAGTCATTTCAGTAAACTTCACAGTGTTGTGTACAAAACAGAAAAATACATTTCAAGATGATCTTTCTTCAGCATTTGTCATCGTTATCTAGCTCCCTTGCTGTGTGCAGTTTCTTGTCTTTTTTCTGGTCTTTATGAAAAATGAATGCAATACCTTGGACACCTTCCGCTGCACAGATGCCGACATTCTGTGTTTTTAATAAGGGAGAGTGGACCGTGTATATGTTATGTAAAAGACGTCCTTTGAAAAATGTATAGCGATACAATATTCATCACTCATCTCACTCTGGATCCATTTAACATACTATGTATAGGATGAATTATAGATACTTTAAAAGCCAAAACAAGGGGAAGTAACCCTGCTTGACTTCTGCTCCCTGCACATCACCCTGTCAAATCATGACAAAGAGGACGTTAGTGTTGTAGTCAAGAGCACACTAACAGAGACAATACATACCTGAGACCGGGGTGCTCCAAGACAAGACCAAGACCGATACAGGGCGAGGCCGAGACAAGACCAAGACATTTGGGGATCGAGACAGACACAGAGTCAAGACCCAGACCAAGACCAAGACAGGGCGAGACCGAGACGTGACAGAGCCATTTAGGGATTGAGACCAAGTCTTTTGCCAGGCCATCATTGTAAATAAGAATCTGTTCTTAATGACCTGCCTGGTTAAATAAAGGTTAAATATAAAGTAACCAGGGGAGACCTTCAAAAAGAAGACTGATTTTGAGTACTACAGCACTAGAGGTCGTATAGATGTACATATACATATTATTGTACATGCTAAATAAAAATTTTACTCACAGCGGTATCTAATCAAGCTGAAACGTTTGCCTTCATGTTTCATGTCTTTTTGAGAACTTTAACCCTGAGTACTGCAGCTTCTGTTTTCCGTACCTTTTGACTGACATTTCCCTCTTTTTGTCTCTACAGGGTCCTCATCTGCACCCACTCCAACAGTGCAGCTGACCTCTACATTAAGGACTACCTCCATCCTTATGTAGAAGCAGGCAATCCGCATGCCAGACCTCTCAGGTATGGACGCACATTTAAGGAGATTGAGACTACTCATGACTTGGGCTGTCTCGATACCAGATTTAGAAACATTAATTAGTATATCGATACCACAGGACTATCAACATGTTCGCATAAAAGCTCATTCTTTGAATAAAGTTAAAGAATCCTGCTTCGTAAAAGGCCAATAATACACATGAACTCCGGATAAATTGAATCTTTGTATTCAGGGTCTGTAGCCTGTTATGTCAGCTGGGACCCTCTGAGCATCTGTGTGACACTCGCCCATCTATACATCGTCTGGATTACTGATTAGAAAGCCTGCAGCCAGAATAATACGTCCATTTTATTCTGAGGTTGTTGAGTGGTTTGGGGCTGCCCCCCTGAAAAAAAAAAAGAGTAACAGGCAGAAGTGTGACCACAACAACTGGGCTGCATTTAAAACTCTGCCCACAGGCAACACACACTCGCATATACACACACAAAATTTTAATTTTTAAAAAATGCAGGCAAATGCCTGCACACTGTCTGAATTGCACAAATACTTTGGCAGCACTTTGAAATGTTGACCAATGTATGGACTTGAGCTTGTATAGCGCTTTTCTAGTCTTCTGACTACTCAAAGCGCTTTTGCACTGCAGGTCACACCTACACATTCACACACTGCTGTGTAAAGTCACCATCAGTAGTTTGCCGTTGACAAAAGCAGCAGGAGCAACTCTGTGTTAAGTGTCTTGCCCAAGAACATATCAAACATGTAGCTGCAGGAGTTGGGGATTGAACCCCCGACCTTCAGGTTGAGAGGCAACTGACTCCAATTGAGCCACCGCTGCCCCTAATGTACTTGTCAATGGAGGCAGTGCTCCCTCTTTCTCTCTGTAGCGGCATTCTTAGTTAAACATAACTGAAGATCAGCATCCCAAACTATAATGCCAGCTTTTTTTATGATTGGATGTATTCAGAGTATCAACAAACCAGTCATAAAGAGCATACCTGCAAGCAGAAAAGAGCATGACGCCATCTCAGAAGTGTGCATGATGATTGCACTGATCATGTGATATAAGTGTCAACACCTCCATTTGCTTGCCCTCGATTAATTTTTCCAGATTATTTCCCACTGGGTTTACTCATCTACTCACCCCCTTTACAGAAGTTTTACTAGGGGGCTGGAAGGACAGAGTCAAGGATAATGTCAGGTTTCAAAAATGTGGCTGTTTGCGTTCACTTGTGCAGCTCACCCTGAAAATGTAGATCGAACAGGTTCAGGGAAGTGGAGCTCACTCACACAATGACCTTGAGGATTGAGTGACATTACCAGTTTATGTCACTCAAAGCTAGAACCCGCCATCCAGTAGATCCAAACATGATGCTGTTGTCTTTTTGGGTTATTTCTCTCCCCTGATGTCTCTTGTTTTTGTCCTTCTCTGCAGGGTATACTTCAGGAACCGCTGGGTCAAGACGGTTCACCCAGTGGTCCAGCAGTACTGTCTCATCTCCAACACACACGTCAATTTCTCGATGCCCACAAGGGAGGACATCCTCAGGCACCGCGTGGTGGTGGTCACCCTCAGCACCTCCCAATACCTCTGTCAGCTGGACTTGGAACCCGGTGAGTCTTATGAAAGTTTATTTACACATCGTGTTGAGGTTGACAACATTTACAGTTTTCATTTTTATGCCAATTCAATTTGAAACCTGATGATTAACAGAATGATTAAGAATGGTTCAGGCATGGCTTGGGTTTCAGGTACTGATTGCTTAGACCAGTGTTTCTCAAATGGGGGTACGCGTACCCCTAGGGATACGTGGGAGTACTGCAGGGGGTATGTGACACATGTCATAAAAAAAAAAAGTTGCATCACAGCAAACTAGTGGTGTGCGAAATAACGATCTTAAACCGAGAAGGATTTAAACGTGTTGAAAATCTGCCAAAACAGGGAGATCGTAGAACGGAGCTTATGTGTTCATTTATCATGATGCAGTTTATGCTCTTCCAAAGACGCGTCTCCCCCTCCCCTTCTGCTCAGCAGCGGAGCGGGATGCATCGCCCGAAAACGAGACTTAGAGTTAGACCGTAAAAAGAACTCCATCCCGGTTATATGCAACTGTTTGAGATATTTCCAAACTGACAGGATGCAATAAAAAGTTATCTGAATAGTTTGCAAAGTTAAGGTTTGTTCTTCGGGCAGCGACATAACGAACCCTTAACAAGCCCGAGAGGTTAACAGTCTCCAGAGAGGCTCCTTCAGGGTGTCTATCTTATAAATGAATTCCAAAAAATATGATAAACAAAAAAGTATGTCTGTTGCTGTGTTAGCCCTGTCATAGTGTGATTGTGTGGTTGACTGCAACTAGGTGTACCCTGCTGTATCTGGTCTGATATTCAACCCCTGGATATACATCTGTGAATATATTGATATGGTTTTCATGATTTCATTACTCTGTGCAGACACAAGTTTGGGCATTCTGTCTCCTGTTCTTTGGTCATCCCCGGGGGCTCTAATATCTCGTGTTGGCAGGAGCTCACCACTTAGTGAGGGATGGAACTCATTTAAGTGGTGGAAATGACAGAAAACAAACCAGTTTGTCATTGCGGGCTAATAACTGGCTCTAAAAATGTCAGCAGAGGGGTCTTTGTCTGTTGCTTGGGAACACCATCTGCCTGTTTCTAATGTACCTTACATCATTAGCCCTGCTCGCCACGTTTCATCTTCCCAGCTCTCCTGGTGTTCCACAGTGTGATGAAAATCGGCAGCAAATGAGGCAGCTGGGAGTCAGCGAGTCTTTTAAGTAGCAGTAACAAATCTCCCACCCACCCCCCCAAAAAACGGTTAAGCTTTTGTGTTTCGTTTTTTCCTCCTTCTTTATGACCTAGATCTGGGAGTGAAAACTGTACACATGGTTTGGTATGAGGAGTTTTACACTTTTTTTTTTTTTTACAGAATTTGATTTCCATCTTCAGGAGTATGACTGCAAATGTAATGTTAAATTCAACCCAACTAATGGAGGTCAAACATTTGCAAACTACATCAGGTATTCATTCATTGTTACAGGTAAAAGAAAAATACAGAAAACTCCCAAAAAAGTAAGTCACACCTGCTACAAGACGCAGTCTATTTTATTTTTTTAAATAAACAGAAGATGGCAACCAAAACAACATTTTTCCCCCCCCAAGACTCTGTACAAAGAAAGCTCCAGGTAGTGACCACACTGATACTACCTGCTCTACCACATGGCCCCCCACAACTCAACCGTGTAGACCAATGGGCAGCAAGAGCCAGGACATCACCAGGGTTGTCAAATGGGTTCCACTCCGTTCACCAGTGCTTCGCCCAATTAGTCCCATGACACCTTGGGAAGGCTTAACAGTTTACTCTGGTGTCCCAGAGCCACTCCCCTTAATTCTAGCTCTCACCGTCCACCAACCCCACACGCAGAGCTTCTATATCTTACCTGCTTTACAACATGGCCGCCACAGCCCAAACAGCATCGCAACCTTCAACAGACCCAGGAGTTGAGTGTATTGTTACAGCCCAAACGGAGGTATTACACATCACTGATACCTTTTACCTTGTGAAAAGGCTGCGAGAAAATAGTGAGAGACTGAGTGTGTGAGGTGACGGAGCTGCCATTTATTATTAAGCAGTCATCTTTCTCCCAAATCCCTTTCATCTGCTTATTATTCCTGCCTCCGTCTTTCTTTGTTCACTGTTGTTTCCAAAATCCAAACACCGTTATAAGCCGAGGACTGATAGCTACAATAGAAATCTAATTTGGTACTCTGCTTTTTAAGATGGGATCCCCCACAGCGGGCGGCTCCAGCATGTCCCAGGTGTACTTTAAGCCTCATGTTTTCATATCGTCTCTCCGTCTACTGGGCCCTCGTAAAGACTGTCCATCTCTGCCTCCTCATCTCTACCTCCCTGCCTGGGGAAACATTCCCATCCACAATGACCCATGTACATCATTTGTGAGCGTTTGCGGCTGTTACATTTTCATGCCGATTGAAGTAAACGAGCAAGAAGGTAGGATGCAGCGGGGCTCCTGTTGACTTCAATTTATGGGAGAGGTCAACAAAAGTGCCTGGCCTCAATAATTAACCATGTGATATAAAGGGGTAGTACATGGACATGACTTGAAGGCTGCATCGTTGAGCGAGTTATATTCAATGAAAAAGCAGTGAAGGAAAGCACATAGCAGGGTTTAATAGTAATGCTTGAAAGAGTCTCAACACAGTAAATCACAGCAGCTTGGGTGCTCATTCATCCTAGAAATAAACTATTCATAGATTAATCAAGTGCATGATTTTAAGTATATGCTATTATCCAGAAATTACTCATGTGGTAATCATATGCACATTACACTCGCCTCTTGGAATATGTGCGGCCTTTGTGACATCTGATGATCTCACTAAACAACCCAACAAATCGTACTTTTAGAAGAAAAAAAATCTCATAATGGAGAAGAAACATCGGTAACAAGCGACTGGGAAAAAGTGTGAAATGCTTAAAAAAGCACACCTGATGGAACATCTCACAGTTAATAAGGTTAACTGTCAACAGGTCAGAAACATGACTGGGTATAAAAAGAGCGTCTCCGAGAGGCTGAGTGTGAAGTTAAGATGAGGAGGGGGTCATGCGCTGTAAAAGACTGCGATGGAATAATGTTTTTTTAATATACACTCACAAAGAATCTGTGGATTTCATCGTCTACAGAACATCATATCATTTAAAGATTCAGAGAATCTGAAGAAATATGTGTATGATGGACAAGGCAAAAATAAACAATATTAGATGGCCCTGCATTTAAAAAGCGCTTCTTCAGTGGCTTCAGGCGAACGGTTCAGTCTGATTTTTTTTTTTTTTTTCTCCACCTGTGCACTTCTTTTGAGCGCATGTACAGAAGGTTTGATGAGTTGCTCTACAGCTGTAAAATAATTTCTCACTTCATAAGCTTTAATACATAAACTCAATTATACACATTCTGCAGAAACTGGTTTTGAGTGTTTGCCTTGTTATCAGCACAGCAGTAGGAGAACACTGCAAGCAAATCCCTCCAATGAGGTGCTCACAAAGCTCAGAGGGAACATTGGTGTGAGGCTTTATAGTTTTGGGAAGGGGGGGAATCAATGTGTTTTGCAGGCACTTGTTCAAAGGTAGATACTAAAGAGTGAATGTTGCCTCAATTCAAACTGCTCCTCCTCTTTTATTTTATTTTGCCAGCCCACGTTTCCGTCATTTGTTTACTTTCTGACAGCCCCCTGCGTTTATTTAGTTATTTTTCTAACTGTCACATTTCATAACTGTATATGCTTTCGTGTGGAAATGGCGTTGGGGCTTCAGAGGCTGTTTGCTGGTTGTTATTCAGCCTCCCTCTTCCCCGCTCCGTGCTCCAGCTCTCATTTGCCATGCCGTTTCATCCCCTCCCCTCATACTGCCGAGCACCGTTTGAGCTTTTTAAATCAGGGTAAGACTACTGTTCAATACTGTGTCCATGAAACCCTGCCTTTGGAGCGCAGGCCTGCTTAGAACAAGGTGGATGGCACATTAGTGACAGTAAGAGCATCGTAATGCTCCTGGTGATATTTGTTAATGTGTCCGTGTACAACAACAATAGTAACAATGATGACATACAGAGGTCCAGGCTTTTGTAAGAATCACCTTGTTTTGAGAGTTACACCGGATTTGATTCGATTTGGATTCGTTTTCAAATCCACACTCATAATAGCAACATCTTCTAAATTATTTATAGAGAATACTTTAATCTTATAAAAAAAAATATATGACATTGATCCCTTTTTGATATTCTTTCCATCCTACAAACAGTGCTGGTACAGTAATTCACTGAACACAGACCAACATTTGCAGGGAGTCTGCTTTGTGTCTGTATTTTTCAGATTATTTTGTTTTGGATTTTATAATGTCAGTCATTGTGCTAGCAACTTAATTAGGCCTTAAAAAGCAACATGTAAAAGTATGTTTTGATGCAAGGCTTTAAAAGCAAACATTGCTACCTTAAAATCAATCCTATAACAGATTGGAAGCCAGTCAGAAGCTATACCTGGGCTGATATTGTCCCTCTTACTTGAGCCAGTCAGAAGCCAGGCTGCAGCACTTTGAACCAATTGCAGTCATGACTTGAGATGACTGGCTGATCCAGGAGTTACAATAGTCGAGGTGGGAAGAGATGAAAGCGTGGATTACTAATTCTAAGTCATGAAAAGAGAGGATAGGTTTTAGTTTTGAAATGGTTTGAAGCTGAAAGAAACTGTGTTTAGCTATTATTCAAATGTGAAGGTGGAATCAAATATCCGAGGTTCTTAGCGTGTGGCTCGATGAGGTAGGAAAGGTGACCTAAGCTGCTTGCGACTGGTTTATGGCTTTGGAGGGGCCATATAGAACCACATCCATTTTACTTTCATTCAGTTGTAAGAAATGTTGGGCCATCCAGAATTTGATGTCTTCCAGTCACTGTGAAATAGAATTGAAGTCTGATGGAGTTTTTGGTTTTATGGGTAGAAAGAGTTGTGTATCATATGCACAATAGTGTTAAGAAATGTGCTTTTCCAGGATTTTACCAAATGGGAGCATGTAAAAAGGGAAAAGAATGGGGCCTAGGATGGAGCCTTGAGGGATCCCTCAGGATAGATTAGCTGTAGAAGAAGTGGAAATGCCTATGTTCAGAGATAGTTCCGATAAAATGAATTTTCCTGATTTCCCCCTATTTGTTTTTTCAGGGTTGTTCTCTCATATCCTGTTGGATGAAGCAGCCCAGGCCATGGAGTGTGAAACCATCATGCCTTTCGCTCTAGCTAGCAAGACCACCCGCGTAGTGTTGGCTGGAGACCACATGCAGGTGAGTTTGGGGAACCATCAAGGACAGAAAGAAGTCTTGTAATTTGGATTTAATTTTGACTTGTGATGTAGCTGCATATTTCTCATGTGTAAAAAAAATAAAATAAAAAAAATAAAATACTTTTTTCGCAAAGTACTCGGCTATTAAAAAGGCACAGTTGCAAAATTGAAGTGCACAAAAGCCTCCTAACTTCGGTTGAATTAGCGACACCTGTTTTGATACCAAGGAGAAATAAAGTCCTAGGCACCATAAATGGGGTATTTATTTTTTCTTAATGACCAAAAGCGAACTCCTGCACAGTGTCTTAATATCACAAATGTGTTGGCCGCTTTCTGGCACAGAAATGTTGTATATGTGCTATCTCTCTGTTTCATCCTTTTTGCCTAAAATATGTCTAAAGATCTTGTTGTTTTTTTAACGCATCATTACTTTTCAATATGTTCAATCGTGAAAATAACAGATTATTTCGTTATTAAAAAGTTTCAAAGTTTGTTTATTTTTTTAGACATTTTGACAACTTTTCTTTCTCCAATCTAATCAAACTTTTAGAGTTCAGTCAAATTGAGTGAGGCTTCTTTTCTCGCTCAGTTTCTTCTTTGAAATTGTAAGAAATACAGTGCCTTTTATCACATCCAGTGTCTGAGGAAAATGTCCGGGTGGGCTTAGTTAGGCATTGGGCCTGCACATGGAACAGAAACATCCTTGACTGAGGGAATGAAGGAGTGAACTCTATAGTCAATAGAAAAGTGGGCGACAGTCTCTTCTGTCACTCCTCTCTTCTATACTCAGGGCTATTTTAATTATGTATTTCAATTTTTCTCTTGCAGTTTTGCCTCTCTTTTGATTATGGCTGTCAAAATAACATGTTAATTTTGACTCATTCTTTAGGGAAAAAAAACGCTTTAAAGGTCACATATTATGCAAAATACACTTCACCATGTTTTTCTAACACTTATATGTGTCCCTAGCCTGTCTACAAACCCCCCAACTATAAGAAAAGTCCATCCTCTCCGTCTTTTGCCTGCTCCACTTTTCAAACAGGCCGTTTGGAGATTTTCCCTTCATTACATCACAAAGGGCAGTAGCCCCTCCCCCAGGTGGGTGACACTCCCACAGCTAGGTGTTTGTTCTGCCCTCTGAGTCTGCCTTCTCACTGTAAACAATAGGACATGGAGCGAGAAAGCACAAGACACCCAAGCTCTTCCAGAGAGGGGCGTGGTCAGACACGGCTCATTTACATTTAAAGGTACAGACACAGAAACAGCCTGTTCTGAGCAGGGCTGAAATAGAGGGGTTTATATAGGCATGATCAAATACAGGATCAGAGTGGATCTAGAACAAGAAACTTCAAAGACATGTTTTGGAGACCTCTGAGACTTATTCAAATTTGTTGAAAAGGAGGAGAATATGGGACCTTTAAGATATGTATGCATATAGTCACTCACTACTTCCTAAGGTAGAGGTTATACATGGATTTGCTCTTTGCTGTTTGTGAGTCTCCATTTTTCCCTTTCTTCAAATACAAAAAGAACAGACAGGAGCAATGTACAGCCTCAGTTCTGGACACCACTTGAGCCACAGATAACACAAATATAAACCCCCAATCAGTCAGGCTTTCTAAGCCAACACAAGGAGTGAAATCCTTCTTTTCTCCTCTCCTGGTTTGAGACGGTGCAAAGGATTACAGAGAGGGAGGAAGTGGCTGAAAAAGAGGCAGGAGTCCACAGTGCAATAGTTGCTTTAATGACTTTCTTGCTATTTTTCCTTTTGAGTGAGGATAAGAACGGTGTCCACCTGTGCATCAGAGTCTCTTTTATTAGTCGCTCTGAGAGAGGGTGTTGATCCTATTCTTCTTCCTCTCACTCTCTCCATCCTTCACCACCGTCCATCTAACAGTGAACGGTCAATGAAGGCTAAAGCCTCTATTGATTGTTTGCTTTCTCATCGACTGTGTGGGGCTTCTTCAAAGGAAGCTGACCCTATCCCACTGACATGCTTAAATTAACATTCAAACTGAAGATAAACCTCTTTCTCATATCAGGCCAAGGTTATTGGGAGAGAGTCACAAAGCTTCTCTGTGCTGTCATAGCAGTGGGGAGTAACTTTAGGTTACAAAAATAACCATGGTTATCTGATTATGCAGAGCCAAACTAAAACCAGACACTGAATTTAATATGTCAAGATTTTAAAAACACTTTTAAATAAAGCAATTGAAAGATAGAAAATATATTCACAGTGATGTGAAAGACCAATCGGATGAGAATTGTTCCAAAACGAGGGTGAACCTTGTGTTGGCTTTTTCCCTTTGGGCGTGGAATTGGTCAGGCAGGTGCCAAACACCTTGTTTGCGGGAGCTTGCCTTGTAGGTACAAGCAGTAAACGTCCAAACTATGTCCTGCAGTGAGGGTGAGCTTCTGGGGGCGATGAGCCCAGGAGGGGGGGCCTAGTATGAATGTTGTGTTGACCTTTAACGTTTTTGTTTCTTTGAGCTGCGTGCAAAATAGTAAAAGCTTTAAAGTCCCTACGTTGAAGATGCTCAAAACATCGATACAGCGGTTTATCGTCATCCTGATTTGTGTGATTCAATATTGGAATCACTGGTGTGAAATATCAAAAGTGTTTGGATATGATACAATCTCTGTTAGGTTAATGACAAAAAATGGTAAAAACCAATGGTTGCCATGGTATCAAAACAGATATCCATATTGTTTGATTTTTACTTGTATCACATCTAAGTTTAATTTCTGGTATTGTGATGACCCTCGAGCCGTTTGACATTGAACTGTCTCACGTTTGATTTCACAGTTGAACAAAAGGAAAAGTACTATGAGAATCATAACCATCTTTGTCCTAATTTGTACATTGCTTCCCCTCTTTCCTCTCTCTCTCTCTCTCTGTCTCTATGTTTGCAGCTGAGTCCATTTGTGTACAGCGAGTTTGCTCGGGAGCGTAACCTGCATGTGTCACTGCTGGACCGGCTCTATGAGCACTACCCTCCTGAGTACCCATGTCGCATCCTCCTGTGTGAGAACTACCGCTCCCATGAAGCTATCATCAAGTAGGTGTGAGCCCTCAGCACTGCCTTGTGTGGGTGGAGAGTCTGTACAAAGATGGAGGAAAAGATGACGTGCGAGATAAGAGAGTGGGTGGGAGGGAGGGGTCAGGTGGAAAGGGACTTGGGTGGACCAGAGTGGAAAGTGGAGCTATCAAGGTGGTGCTTCAGCTGACAGTAGCTCCATGATGAGGAGCTATGTTGGTTAGGATGTTTCGCTTCAGATCCTGGTGAAAGAACAGACACAAAACAACGAACTTTGAATGATTAGAAAAGTTTATACACTCAAAAGTTTCCACAGCTGAAAAAAAATGTATACTCAAGGTGTTAACAGTACTTAAGCTCAATCCTGCAAGGTTGATGCCTTCTCAAGTTCCCACCTACTTCACTTTCTTATGAATTGAAGTGTAGTCCTTGGACTAATTGCAATGTTTTACAACAGTGGAACTTTGAAGCTCTTGTGGTTTAAAGTTTGTGAAAATCCAGGTTCACTAGTGATGTACACATAACACCATTGTTTATTAAAGGGCCTTGTTAAATACTTATTTCTGATTGGCTAATTGTACCTAACAATGCTCTGCTATCCCTTGATGGATCATAGTTACTAGGAAGAACCAACCGTTACTAAGAAAAGCTGACGGTTGCTTCTCACAGACCCTGGATGACCACCTAGCATTTTTTCTGTGCAGAAAAGTGCTGGCTGTGCGCTCAGGAGCACTCGCATGAAGCGCTGTACGCTGATAAGAAAAGTGCTGCATGTCTGTCCTGTCTCTATGACAACAGTTTGTTGACAACGGCCGCTGTATGACGGACTCTGTTACTTTTACTGCATGTTTTTTTGTTTTAAATCGTTTATTTCCCGATCAGACACAGAGTGAGCAGAATGTGGGTACAAGACATGATCTGCAGGCGGCACAATTACAGGGAATATAATACATTTGGAAAGAGCGCCGTTGACGTCAAAAGTGCCTTCCTGAAAGGTTCAAAGATTTTCAACTTGAGCGCTCTGAAAGGCCACACAAAAAAGACAGAGCATTCAGAAAAAAGATGCTGCGCTTTTCTCTCCAGGCGGCCGTCGCCTGCTGCTGCAAACACTCTCTACTCATTGAAAACATTTGAAAAAATGCTCTGGCGCTCAGAAAAAAAGCTAGGTGGACACGTGGCCTAACTGTAACCATTTCAATCAGTGGAGAGAAGTCTGGGTAATTTGACATCCGTCTGTTAAAAGGAAAGGAGCCAGGAGAGGATAACAACCGATGGGAGAGGCTAAAAGATGCAAAAACTGAACGCTATGACAAAGAAATGTACAAAACTGAAGACGGCACTTGATAAACACATACCAGAAGGTGCAGTGTGATGCTGTACTGTTTGAAGACTGGTGGAAAAGTAATAACAGCTAGTTAAGAGGCCCTTGCCATGGACGCAGCTCTAACTGTAGATTCTAAAGGACTGCATGCAGGCTGGCAAAAGGCTGGAGTTACTATGGTTACAGGGACAATGAGTCACTATAGTTACAGGGAAGCACTGTGTCTGTCACTGAAACATTCTGTCAATATTTATATTTTTTCTGCCTTAGACTGTGATGTGACAGAATAAATTAAACTCAGGAAATAGATTTTTTGGGGGGGCATAACAGACTAAATAATTCTGGTAATCCGACACAGAACTGTATTTTTACTGTGTTGTCAAAAACTACAGGTCCAGTGGTTTGTAAATAAATTAATTCTTTTAGAAATACATTCAGGGGAATGGATTACAGGTTGGATCTTCTCCTGCGGTTTGTGCCATTTGAGCCTTGAATCACATCATGGTGTAAAAAAAATTGACTGCTGCTAAATAGGAGTAGGATGACATTTGAGATTTTAAAACATGTTCATCTACACAGAAATGAGTCTGTAGCGCTGAAATGTCACAGTATAATGTGTTTGTCGTTACTTTGTATCAAACGCTGCTTTGGATTTTCGCCATTTCATTTCACAGATATTTATATCATAGATTAGTTTTATCTGGCCAATCCCTCGTTCTGATTCCCCTTCTCTTACCCCCTTTTATTTCCTTTTTTTCTTCAGCTACACATCAGAGTTATTTTATGATGGGAAGCTAATGGCGAGTGGGAAGCAGCCCTCCCATAAGGACTTCTACCCGCTGACCTTTTTCACAGCCAGAGGGGAGGACGTACAGGAGAAGAACAGCACTGCCTACTACAACAACGCCGAGGTAAGTGTGCAAAAAGGAGGTAGCCTCTCCGACACCATCCCCCTAATCTTTTTAAGGCCCGGAAGATTCAGGGTTCCTGTTGATCCTTAAAAAGTCTTGAATTAGGGTTTTAAATGAATCATTATAACATGTCTTAAAAAGTTTTGTTCTTGTGAGAGATCTTACATTTTAGAAAGCACTTTTTGATCCAGTAGATGTCACCCTCGAGCACCAGCATGAAACCAAATCAAACTTCTGTTTGGCCGCACCTCTTCCATACTGAAGCCTCTGCTGTCCTGCAGCGACACACTGCTAACCCCTCTCCCCTCGCATTCCCACAAAGGAGTTATCAAATGAAATGCACCATAGTTAAGCACCAAGCTGCCTGATTTCAGGCGGCTCTGCAGCACCCTTACTTCCCGAGCCTTCTCTGAAATCACAAGTAGAATGACTATTTGAAAGCACTCAGCAGTGTTCAGTCACATCATTATACATTCAAGCACTCACTGTATTAATTATCATAATTAAGGATGAAAAGCATGAGCCAATTTAGCAGATTAAAGAAGAGCTGCTGTTGACAAGCGTGGTGCCTTATTCAAGGATGGTCCCTGCCTCTGATTGGTTCCCCTGAAGCTTCACTTTGATGTGGTCATCGTCTATGTCGGACCTCTGACCCTTTGCTGACATGTTCCAGCCAATTAAGCTCGATACTTCTTGATTTAGCTCCAGAGCTGTCAGCAGTGCCATAGAAATTACCACCTGTCTGTTTAATGTCAAACCATGAACAGCATTGTGTTTGTAAATGAAAACACGGTGAGGAAAAGCATGTGTGTTTGTTCCATGTGAACGTGACTGACAGGCCAAGAAGAAAATAGTTTCAGAACACAGCAGCCATGTTTACGCGTGCAGAATGTCTTCAACTCGATGTTCTGTTGCTCATCTGTTGTTTTTTTTATGGGTAAACTTCCATGCCTGCGGGGTGCTGATGAGTGGTTAGTGTGCTAGCCCCATGTATGGAGGCTTTAGTCCTCCAAGCGGGCGGCCCAGGTTCGAATCCGACCTGTTGCTCCTTTCCCGCATGTCATTCCCCTCTCAATCTCCCTGATTTCTGACTCTATCCTCTGTCCTATTTCTACAATAAAGGCACAAAACCCTCAAAAATAAATCTTGAAAAAACAAATGCCTTGCCATGGCGTCATTCAGAACATAAAGTGTCTCGTTATCCTCTGTTGTCTTTTTAACCGTTAAAAACATTCCTTTTCAGACTGTGTGTTTCCAGGGAAGATCCACATGGGCCTTGAATCCTCTGTTTAATTTGCCTCATGTTGCTCCTCCATCTTTTTCAGGTGTTTGAGATCGTGGAGCGGGTGGAGGAGTTGCGGAAGAAGTGGCCGGTGGCCTGGGGCAAGCTGGACGACGGCAGCATTGGAGTGGTGTCGCCGTACGCTGATCAGGTTTTCCGCATTCGTGCCGAACTCCGAAAGAAGAGGATGCATGAGGTCAGCGTGGAGAGAGTGCTCAACGTACAAGGTGAGAGAGACTTTACAAACATGCACGGATGGAAAGAGTACACAAAAACGCTACTCATGAGTTAAAGTAATTAGTTACTTTCTACTCCTGCAAACATGAAATCATACTAAAACAAACACTACCTTGATGTACTAGAATATGAATATATTTAGAGACAGATGCATCGATTATTAAAGCCTCTTTTAGGAATTTGATGTCTTTTATGAGAATAATTCACCTGATGGGAAATGAAAAAAATAGAAGAAAGCAGCTGCATTCAAAACAGTTTTATTTCAATCCCCACGTGTTTCATCACTCCATGAAGCCCATCTCACACGTTTCTGTGTGTAAGATGATGTAAGGCTCGTTCTTCAGTAATGTTGTTGCTTTAAATAAGAGCAGTGTCACCCTAAAGACAAAAATCCCTGCTGTCTTCAGCTCGGTTCTCAGCGCTCACACGGCCCCCTCTTGTCACCCAGTCTTAGTACGAGGACGATATGAGTGAGTGTTTCTCCCCTCAGTCCCTCCTCTGCTCCACTGTCAGGCATCTCCCACTTGTGTTGCATCCAGCTGCTTTCCACAGGTCATTAACTTTCTCGTCCACACTGAATGTGTGGACACTCACTCACACACAAATACATACACACACACACACACACACACACACATAAGGAAACATGCCTTGGAAATGATGTTTGTTTATCTGTTCTATCAACAACTCAACTGCAAGTTCATGAATTCCCAGACTGGGGCATTAATAATACAGCGTTGTTGTGGAATCAATGTGACAAAGCCGTGATGATGGCTGAGCTTAGTTACGGTGTCTTAATGAAAAAAGCATTCTGGAAAGGGCTATGAAATATGAAAAAGGAGAACCAGAATTGTTGGAACATCTGAAATCCTTAATGAATCCTGATTGGTAATAGTGTTCCTCTTCAAAGGCAGAATGTGCAATTTTACATATAAATAAAGCAGAAATCAAGTTTATTCTCTGTAAATGTTCCTCTGATTCATTACGCGACAGTCATGACTCAGAGGGTAGACATCATTCCTTCACTCCTTTGCTAGAGAGAAAAAAAATGGTCGACCTGCACAAAAGTTTTGACTAGGCTGTGGAGGGGATTTTTGTACCAGAATCCCACTGTGATGTCACAAGGAGAGCACATTTGAAACAGAGCATTTTTCTCTGTGTTGTAAGACTTATGCAGACCACAAACAAAGGACTGGATGGGTTCATTTCACATTTTGTGGGTCAGTAGACACTCAGGTTTCCCAAATATATGTTCAAAAACACCGTACAAGTGGATATTTCATATGTCCCCTTTAAGATTTGAATGTCATTGTTATAACAACAGCAGCTCTTTGGTAGTAGCAGCATAGAAAAAAACCCAGCAACATTGAGAAGAAACACCTTAAACTATGAGCTCTACATCAATAATAAAAAAACTCTCAAAGATGACACTCTAATAGCAGACCTTTTGTTTCTTCTCTTAATATGTGTGCTTCTCAGATTTCTTGTTTCCTTCATAATTTAACCCTCTTTTTTTGCAGGTAAACAGTTCCGCGTGTTGTTCCTCAGCACGGTTCGGACGCGGCACACCTGCAAGCACAAACAGACGGCCATCAAACGCAAAGAGCAGCTGGTGGAGGACTCGACAGAAGACCTCGACTACGGGTTCCTCTCCAACTACAAGCTACTCAACACAGCCATCACCAGAGCCCAGTCCCTGGTTGCAGTTGTGGGAGACCCCATAGCACTGTGCTCCGTCGGGCGCTGCAGGTAAATGTGGCTACTTGAGATGACAGCCTTAGAAACTGTAATGCAGCAGAACTTTATGAGAAGAGTTAGTTCAGTACCATGAAGCATTCAGTCCTAATCTAGGTGAAATAAAAAAGTAAAACCTCTCTGAATTTGTTGTTTCCCCCCCTTTTTCTTTTTTACAGGAAATTCTGGGAGCACTTTGTCTCCATTTGCCACGAAAACTCAAGTCTCCATGGCATCACCTTTGAGCAGATCAAAGCTCAGCTGGAGGCTCTGGAGCTCAAGAAGACCTACGTCCTGAACCCTCTGGCCCCGGAGTTCATCCCCCGTGCCCTCAGGCCCATGCAGGGACACCACTCTTCATCGCAGGCCCTCCATCCACACCATCATCCTCATCCTCAGCACGCACAGCCCGCCTCCAACAAGCAGGGTCCGCAGCAGCAGCAGCAGCAGCAGCAGCAGCAGCAGCAACAACAGCAACAACAACAGCAGCAGCAGCAGCAGCAGCAGCAGCAGTCACCGCCTAAGGTAAGGTGTTTCTGTGAAGTGGTAATTTCAGTATGGGCGCAAAAAATCATATAGTGTAGAAATTAATCAGAAATTACAGTCTGCATGTTAGGAGAGGAAGAGAAATAAGAGTGATAAATATGTAGACAGTGTATTGTTATCTCTATTATTTAGATATTTACAAAGCCACCTGATTTGTTAAAATAATGAACAAATTTGAAGGCATAAACACAGCCCTTCTTGCCTTCAGAGGGGATGAATGATAAAAGCCTTACATATGTTAGCATGACATGTATCTACTTAAAATAACGATCATCCTAACAACTAAATTCCTGGTCGATTAATCGCAAATTCAGACTAGAAAACAGTCAACATTGAGTGCAGTTTAATTAACACGGCTGAACACAGGGGTCAAACAATGTAAATTGTATCGGGTAAACAATTTACATTGTTTACCCCCCCCCCCCCCCCCGCCTGAAGGTCAAGTTGTTGTTTTTTTTTAAGATTTATTTTTGGGCTTTTTGTGTCTTTATTGTAGAGATAGGATAGTGTATAGAGTCGGAAATCAGGGAAAGAAGTTATTTAAGGATACCTTTCTGATAGAAAAGGACAGCTGTCATTAAAAGTAACACATGAACACCAAGATTCCTTCAAGTGTTTGTGTCACCGTGTCGGCATGTCGGCTTGTCCCCACCCCCTCAACGCTGTAAACCTAGGGAAAACACTGCCCAGATTAACCTGACACAGCCGACACAACATAATCTCCATTGTTTTAGATCTAAGTGCTCTGCGCTACGAGATGCCATCCGTCCACTGTGCTGGTTTTCAATCGGGTAGATACAGCTTATAAGCATTGCCTGAACTACAAAAAAATGCAATTATTAGTTTAACAAACTGGTAATACTGGTGCGGATTACTCATTCCACCCATCTGCTAATTAAGCTGCTAACTAAAATAACTCGTTTCAATATCATCACACTTGGTTGTTGATTAAGGCTCCTGATAAAAACACCACAGAGATAACATCAGAACGAGAGGTTTGTCGGGAGGATGCTTTGTTTGATTGTTTAGCTCGGACTGTTTTTGAGCGTCTGTCCTCCCTTCCTCCCGTCAGCCCTGAGATAAAGGTTAACGAAATCACCACAGCTGCCAACCTGCTGCCATCACCCACTGGGCCTAATGAGCCGCAGCTCCGTAGCATCAGGCAGCTTAAAGAAACATACACACTTACAGATTTTTCTCTCTCTCTCTCTCTCTCTCTCTCTCTCCCTCTCTCATACATAGTCTGTAGCTCACAGACACGCTGATACCAGTATGCATTATATTACATTTTAATATACTGTCTCCTTCGGCGTATGGAGCATGTTACTTATTTAAAGGTCAGATGGTTCCAGGTGCCTCAGTGCACCGTCTGACATACAGCCAAGAGAATCCACACAAATTTCATTCAATAACTGAAGAGAAAACCCGCCTTTCAGTGCTGGGGTCAGGTTTATCTGCACATTCTCCAAAGTTTATCGTCACAAAGGGCAGAGCCTTTTACACATTGCAATTCTGCAACAGCGCTGTATCAAAGTTCCACAAAGGCGTCATCTTGGTGTCCCGGTGTGTGATGCTCACTTTGAGTTCTGGTATTACAGAAGCACGAGAGGCTCAGCACACTCAGACATGCTCACACACAGAGCTGTTCTGCCCTGCCCGCTTCACATTGCCACCGTCTTCCCCCATTATTCCTCTGTTAGTACCTCTGATGGCAGATCAGGGGCAGAGCGACTTAGCCCCAGCATGTCACCTCTGATTGCAGACGAGACGTAAATATCCGGCCTTGAACTGACAACATTTAAGCGCAAAATAAGTACAATTTCTAGTTTCAGTCGGCCCATGTCTGCCTTTTTTCGGCCAATTCGACATGTTGAATCGCCATCGGTTGGTGAGAGGAATCACTCTGATTGGCTGTTCAGCAAGTGAACCAGTGCACGAGAACGGAAAAACGCAAGTGACAAAAGCAAGTAAAGGGCTTCAACTTTTTATCAGACATTATCCTCGATTAGAAGTGCATATCCCATGAAGTTTAAGAGCCATTTTTATTTACCTGTCTAAACCAAGCAGCAGCCTCAGGTGTTGAAAAATGAAGCCAATGTCAAAAATCCTGCAGTCCTCAAGTGTCCACTTGAGGGCTGGCTGCAGAAACCGAGAAGTCCCATTAACACCCATGTCTGAGTCTTTATTGGTACAACCTTTCCAGGGGTGAATTTTGTTTTCTAACTCATTGCTTGTGATGCTATTAAGCCTGAGAGTTATGCATGATTAGGGTTGTGGTGCAGAAGCTAAAGGCCTGCCTTAACTCCGCCCCTTTACCTGTTGTAAGGTCAACTGAAAGTTAGGTTGAGACACAGTTTCTAACATTGCAACTCTGATTCAGAAACCAATGAGTAACGTCATTAAAGACATCAAAATGTTGTTTTTAATGCGGCCTGTTGTTCTGATTATGAAATGTTGTTGTTGAAGTTTGTCTGAATTCAAAACTTTTATCCAGCTGAGATTTGTTGTCTGTATCTCCTTCTGGACAGTCGGGCGTCTGCAGAAGTAAAACAATCGAATGTCACAATCAAAAGTTATTCATGATTGGGCCTCTAATTTTACCTAACATTTAGTCTCGACAAGAATGCTGACCTGTTGGATATCAGTGATGAAGGCTGCTACAGTCGGCAACAGAGACACTTAAATCATAACAGCAGTCATCTGAAGGGGAAATGCTTGTATAATTTATAGATCGTTATTTCTCTTAGACTGAGGTAAAGACATGAGTGGGACATAAAAATAAAAAGCATGTATCAAAATAGATCTTCTACAAACATACTTAGCATTTATGTCCTCTTCATTATGTATTTTGATATTTATAGTCAGGTTTTACAACAAAGCATCAGTAGAGGAGTTTGCATTGTCTCCATTAATATCCATACACACGTCTCGACAGCTTGGTGAGAGCCGATCGAATGCAGCCGGATCCATCCAGATGGATGCATGAAGTCCTGAGGCTATTGAAGCCATCCGAGCGATGCAGCCTTGAAAAACACAGCGAGGAGTTGCTAATACGCTGCTTAGTAGGGGAAGACGATCAGATGGCTTCAGCCTCTTTAAACTGCAGATAGTCAGACAGATGCAGAGAATCAATGAAATCTGTGCAACTCACTTCTTTCTGCACTCAACGGCAGCATTAATATGTGTTGTATGCTGTTTGTATTTATCGTCTCTCTTAAAGAGCCATGCATTGAATCACCTAACGATATCAGACTTTAGGCTATTTATGCTTTCTGTATATATCCCATGAAGTTTAAGAGCCATTTTTATTTACCTGTCTAAACCAAGCAGCAGCCTCAGGTGTTGAAAAATGAAGCCAATGTCAAAATCTGCAGTTCCTCAAGTGTCCACTTGAGGGCTGGCTGCAGAAACCGAGAAGTCCCATTAAACCCATGTCTGAGTCTTTATTGGTACAACCTTTCCAGGGTGAATTTTGTTTTCTAACTCATTGCTTGTGATGCTATTAAGCCTGAGAGTTATGCATGATTAGGGTTGTGGTGCAGAAGCTAAAGGCCTGCCTTAACTCCGCCCTTTACCTGTTGTAAGGTCAACTGAAAGTTAGGTTGAGACACAGTTTCTAACATTGCAACTCTGATTCAGAAACCAATGAGTAACGTCATAAAGACTGGGTCCTTGTTGTTCTATCCGATCTTTGGTCTAAACCCTTTTCTCGTTGCAGTTCAACCCAACCCGGCCATGCTGATGGAAACCCGATTAGGGCGTTCACACCACCTTTGGGTGGCGCACCAGCCGCCATGGGCAAATCACCCAGTCCTGTTCAAAGGATAGACCCTCACACAGGCGCCAGTATCCTCTACGTTCCCGCTGTGTACGGTGGAAACATGGTCATGTCCATGCCCTGCCTGTAAGTCTTCTGAGGTTTTATCTTGTTTTATATCCGTTAATTGTCAATATGCATTTTCACATTATCACACAGTCACACACAGGTTTTATCATTTAAGTGTCCGACAGTCACCAAAGAATATTACTTTAAATTACTGTACTCCTATCTCTCTCTCTCTCTAGCCCAGGGGAGCTAGAGAGAGAGAGAGATAGGAGTGCACATAGATATGGACTGTTTCAAAACAAAAACTGGTAAAGTTGCTTTTGGGCGAGAGGCGCAAGTACCTGAAAGTGGTCTTTGTTTAACCTCCAGTTGGTCAATGCTTTCCCCCTCTGATGATGGACACCTCATGTCCACACTGTCAACATGTTGTGTGTGCACATGGCATGAGACGTGCGGCTTGTGTGTGAATCTGAGATTAGCATAGAATATAGGATATATTTTAGATGACTGGTCGTTCACTGATCACGGCCAAACACGCTGAAAATCAACGATCCCGGTCACCAGCCGACCGATTGGTACACCTTCAGCTTACAATAAATCTAAGGCAATACAGTTACAGCTATTGAACTATAATCTGTATGAACAAAAGGCTGTTTTCCTTACACTTTAACCTGCAGTTGTTTCTTTATCGATAATCTCATAATCTGTTTCTTCTTTTTTTAAGTTGCCCTGGCCAGGTTACCAGAATCGCTTTGCAGTGGATCCTCGAATCATGAGCCATCCTGCAGCCATGGCGTACAACTTCAATCTGTTGCAGGCTCAAACCGAGGCTCCCCCATCCTTACAGCGGCATGGCGCATCCCTCTCCTCTGGAGTGGGGCAGCCCAGCCCGGACAAGGAGCTCCAGGCAGACCCATCAGAAATGGTAAGCCATGATTTTTATTACCCTGTCAACACAATCGAAACTTACTTTACTTTCATGCCATCAAGTAGAGATAGTGTATTGTATGTATAGAATAACCATGAATTTAGTAATGAACTTATCTGACCTCTTAGGTAAATTAGAAGGATGTCCAAAGTCAGAACAGAGCCGTCTTCAGACACCAGAGAGGAAAACTGCAGACATGAAGGAAAAACAGGCAAGTAGTTGACATTTATGTTTTATTTATTTCATTAATATCTCAAACCAACATAAACAAAGCAGCTAAACCTTTCTTAATGATGTCTGGGTTTGTGTTTCATCATTCTAGGGAGATTTAGACACTGGGCAAAGTCGAAGTCTAGACTCAGAAGCATGGTAGGATTTCCAAATGCACTTCTCCATCGAAAGGATCCCTCAGCTGCCCAAAGACCCTCAACTACCACCTGGCACCACCGAACCCAGCTTTTCCTCCACATCCTGCCAGTGGAAGGGCCTTCCCCCACAGTATCCCCTCTCCAGGCTTCCTTATCGGGTTAGCCAGCCTCAGCACCCGGGGATGGCCCAACAGAGCCAACAGCAACCGCAGCAGCTCAGCCCTGCCTACACCGGTGGCAGCCACAATGCTTCTTTCTTCAGCGGACCCGTGCCCCCTCACAGGGCCGTGCAGTCCCCCACTTTGGATGGGCCTGAGCCTGGAGGGGTGGAGGAGATGAGTGGCTCCATTAGGACTCCAATGGGCCAACCAGGGGGGCACCACCCGGGCATGTCGCAGCATAACAGGGTTAACAGCTTTGGGGAGGACGGGCAGGACGGAAACATGGGAGAAGGTTTGGGTGAGTAGAGCATCATTTTTTTATTTGTTTTATCAAGGATGTATTGTGTTTCAAGAGTGTTTAATGTTTTCTTTAAATACTAAATATAATATATAATATAATAAATACTTGCTTAGATAGTAAATCTAACTATCATTTCTAATGGCAAAAGGAGATTCAAAAACTGTACTAAAGCCCGCTGAGCCCAGATGACACCACCAGGCACTCTAAAACTAATCTTGTGGTTTAACCTTTCAGACCCCTTGGCTCTCGAGGCCCTGAGCCAGCAGCAGCAGCAGCAGCAGCAGCAGGCGGCCAGGCTGGGCCAGTGGGGGGAGGCAGCTGGTCCTTTTCTGCAGGGCAGCGTCGCCTTCCCTCTGCCCCAACAGCTCGCCCACCTCGCTCAGCCCGGCATGGCTCGCTTCCCCCTCAGCTGCTCCGGGCAGCTAGTTGGGGCCTAAGTGCCAATATGGAGGAAGAGGGTGTCACTTCTGCCTCGACTGGGCCACCTTTCACCAGGTAGGACTCTGCAACAGTTGGTTTTATGTTTCTGTTTTAGAAGTTAAAATACATGTTTAAAACAATTGAAAATATTTCCCTTGCTGCTGCTTTCTAAGATATTTCCAATTTGAGGGGTAAAAAAAACAACCTTTTTGTTTCCCAGGTACCCGGGCCTCCTGAGAGAGATGCCCCCACAGGAGCAGCCTGAACCCAGAGAAGCAGCTGAGATGCAGCCCCCACCTCAATCCCGTCTCCTCCAGTACCGCCAGTCCCAAGCCCGTGCATCAAATGACCCTTCATCCTCTTTAGCTGCCACCTCCAATCATGCCGGCCCTTTCCCACCAGGACCATACCCCCATGACAGTGGCCGCGATCTCCTAAACGACAACCTTCTCAACAACCCCGCCCTGCAGCAGCACCCAGGAAACCCCCTGTATAATACTGGTAGCTACCCCCATCAGCCGCCGGCCCACTCTGTCAGCCCCCCTCCCTCCCAGGTCAAATACCTTCTGCAAGAGGCCCAGTGGTCCCACAGCGGAGCTGCATCAGTGAGCCCACCGCAGCAGAACCACCTACTGGGGAACCAAGGCCATGGTCTTCCTTATGGACTGCCCATCATGGCTCACCCAAGCAGGCAGGAGCAAGTCCACCTGATGCAACTTCACCATCAGCACCATCAGCAGCAGCAGCAGCAGCAGCAGCAGCAGCAGCAACAACAACAACAACAACAACAACAACAACAACAACAACAGCAACAACAGCAACAACAACAGCAGCAGCAGCAGCAGCAGCAACACCACCAACAGAGTCAAGGTCCAGACCAGGAGTCCTATCACCCCCTGTCCCCCAGAACATCAGCAGCCGCAGCCCTTCACAATGTAGATGAGGTAAGAGTAATTCATTTATCGTTAATAATTTTACCATCTTCTACCATCCAATTTCTGCAGCCAAATGCATCAGAGAAACTTGTAATATTGCTCATTCTCACGTTTCAAACTTTGACAATTGATTTAATAAAGGCATTTTGGCATTAACTTTCTGACCCTCGATGGATGAAACTATCGATTTATTCTTTAGCATTACTGTTTCACTAGCCAGGTCAGGTTTTCCCAGACATATTTAGATCTTAATTTTGAATTAAACTAAATCCAAAGTTGTCATACTTTAAGGAAATAGTGGGAAATTAGTGTTCGATCTTCTGATCAGGGCGTTTTAGCTGTTCCTCATTCACTTTCTTTCCATTTGTTTCTCCAAATTTAAGTAAGCGCTGCAAGCGGTGACTTCAGAAGGTCATATTATCCACTCATCATACTGACTTCATGCCCGCCCTCTCCATCTTTTCTGTCTGTACAGTATGAACCCAGAGGTCCGGGCCGGCCCTCTATCAGCGCCGCATCTCCTCAAGCTACCCAGACGACTCGTCTCCAGCCAACACCCACAACGCCCTCTCCCAGCAGTCCCAGCCCTGTCCGCCAGATCCCCAGGACCACCCCATCCGCACATACAGCATCATCAGCACCCACACGCACCCTACGGTTACTCCTCACATGACCTCTGGCCCAGTAATGGCGGGGTCCTGGTCCGTTCCAGAACATCCCGTGTAACGGAGCCAGCACGCTCGCTCAGCATCGAGACCTTATGGGTGAGTATCTCTGAATACACTGCTTTCTTTTACACTGAGATGACTGAAAGCCGGACTAATCAGTTTCTAATCCTTGAAACACATCTGAAAAAGAAGGAACATCTTATATTCACAATTTAGACTTTAAATTGATGATCACAACAAAGGACGGAGCCACTTGTCGGTAAATCGAGTGGACCCCTTGTGATCGATGCCAGCTGTCACTCTCAGCTGCAGTACCAGGGGGAGACACCAGGGGGAGGCACGGTGATCGTCCTGAACTAAGTGGCTGAGAAGTAGGTCAAGTTGACCAACAACTGAGGCGGAGTTATTAAGCCAGTTTTAGGAAAATGTTTATCAATGCAGCAGAGTCCTTTAAAAACTATCTTAACAGAGCGTAACGTCTGTAAACTTCATGCCAACAGCGGGATATTGTCAGTGTGATTTCGTGAAGATCCGTCAAACAACCTTTTTGGGGTACCTTTCTAATCTTTTCTTTTCCCTGCAGCGTCTAAGGCTCTCCGTCAAAGTGAGGAGCAGGTGAAGGCCGAGGCCACGGCAGCACAGCAGTCTCACCCACACTCCCTCAACTCCCTGCAGCACCTCGGACAGTTCCCTCCTCTCATGCCCAATAACAAGCATCAGCAGCAGCAGCAGCAGCAACAACAACAACAACAACAACAGCAGCAGCAGCAGCAGCAGCAACAACAACAACAACAACAACAACAACAGCAGCAGCAGCAGCAGCAGCAACCGCCACCGCCGCCGCAGGCTCCCACGGAGGCAGGCCAGGGGCCTCCAAATCTGAGCAAACCACCCACCATGTCCTACGCCAGTGCCCTCCGTGCTCCACCCAAACCCAGAGCTGTTCGTCCTGATCAGGCCAAAAAGAACAGCGACCCTCTCTCCCTCCTCCAAGAGCTGAGTATAGGAAGTTCAAACGGTAGCAATGGGTACTATTCCTACTTTAAATGAGAGTCTTCTCCTAAATAATTAAGTGATAAAATACAAAAAAAGCAACAAAAAAAAAGAAAAACATTTTCTAAAACCACATAAAAAATAGTGCAAAGTGCATTTACAAATTGTTTCTATCAGTAGGTTTGTTTTCTGCATTTTGTTTCATTTTAACTTTTTATCCGTAACGGTCATCTTTTCTCCTGTTTCACATATCTGTGAAGAAAATAAGTATATATAATGAATGCATTACCGGTATATATACATACTCATTATGTATATATGAATATATACTTATATTATCGACACTTGTATATGTACGTAATGCAAAAAAAAAAAAAAAAAGTTAAAAAAAAAACAAATTTAAAAAAAAAGGCACGAGTTAGTTGACCACTTAGCTCCCTGCATATTCTCTCCTTCTCCAAGTTGCTTTTGTTGGTTGCCTAAATAAGTACGTTGAAGTTTTTATTATTATCATTTTGTATCTTTCAGTTTTTGAGTGGGCGTTCACGTCTTGATTTTCATTCTACTGTAGTCGTGCTGTTGGACGAAAAAAAGCTAAGTGGTCAACTGACGGCGAAACTTCATGGAACAGTGTATAGAAGTAGATACAAATTTTCCTCTAATCTGTACATAAAAAGAAAATAAAAAGACTGAATTGTATGCCACAGACATGTCCTTAAATTCCTGTATCATGCTAGCATTTGAATAATGAATTATTTCCTGTTTTTATTTTTTGCTTCTTAACCTTTAATCCTTTGACATCCTGACCCGGGAGTCATCTTTGGTGATTTAATAGTAAATGTGATTATTTACTGAGAATAACATTACAGATATTGATTGCATATTTTTAATTTTTTTTTTTCATCGGCAACGATAGATCCAGTGTTAAAACGTCAGAACAGCTACAACCATGTCATTCCTCGTTTGTGTAAAAGATTAAACATCAGACGTCGCTCTTTGTGATCCGAGCCTCCTGAACCGCCTCCCTCTCGGCCTTGTGCTTGGCCGTTTTTATTTTATTGTATTTCCTTTTGATTGTGTCAGCGACTTGTGCAGCAGAGATTAAAAACTGCTCGAGGTATGAAATGTTGTTTTCTTTGTCACTAATGATCGTGAGCTTCTCTTGTAAAGGTTTGCGCTGCTCTGAGGGTTTGTGAAAGTGAAGAGAGAGAGGAGGTCGCAGTGAGTTGTCCTGTTAGGTAAGTTGAATCTGAGGGTTTACATGAACACATCACCGGTCACGTCTTTATGAACGAGCTTTACCTTACCCTGAAATATTTGATACTATTTGATTCCACGTGTTTTAGAACAATAGCTTAAAAAAACATTTTAACTTGAAGAGAGAGAGAGCACTGTCCCAACGTGACGCCCAAGAAAATACAATTAATTGGTTGCCTAGGATTTACATTTTGGTTGCCGTGGTATCGAAACAGGAAATGGTTTACTAGTATCGTATCGAAAATTGAAATTCTGGTGTCATGACCACCCCACATTATACACTTTTTCTCTAAAGCTCACATATTCTCCTCCTCTTCAACCAGTTTAAATAAGTCTCAGAGCTCCTGAAAACATGTCTGTGAAGTTTCTTGTTCTAAATATACTCTGATCCTGTATTTGATCATGAAATATAAACCCCTCTATTTCAGCCCTGCTCAGAACAGGCTGTTTCTGTGTCTGTACCTTTAAATGTAAATGAGCTGTGTTTGACCACGCCCCCTCTCTGGAAGGGCTTGGGTTGGCTCGGCCTTTCTCGCTCCATGCCCTTTTGTTTACGGTGAGAAGGCAGACTTAGAGGGCAGAACAAACACCTAGCTGTGGGAGTGTCACCCACCTGGGGAGGGGTTACTGCCCTTTGTGATGTCATGAAGGGAAAGTCTCCAAACAGCCTGTTTGAGCACACATTTTCTGAAAAGTGGAGCAGGGAAAAGATGGAGAGGATGAACTTTTCTCATCATTGAGGGTTTGAAGACAGACTAATGGACACATATTAGTGTTAGATAAACATGGTGAAGTGTAATTTGCAGAATGTGTGACCTTTAATTTGAAATCTTGTTTGCTGTTTAATGGACATCAGTCTAATCTTTGACATAGTGTAGGCGACCTTTAATCCCTGAGTAATATGAACCCTATAATAAGCTATATGCACAAGCTGATATTAGCTCAGTGTGCCACCTTACACTGTCATGATATCAGAATTTAAACTGTGATGTGATACCAAGATCTCAATTCCTGTTCTGAAGTCACAACAACAAACTCAGATGTCTAACACAACCAATGTCTTGTTTTTAATCACCAAAAACTGCAAGCGAACATCTGCACACGGGTCTATGTTTCAGACAGTGCCTCCTCCTCCTCTGCTCTCTCACTGTCTGTAAGTCATTAATGTAACATTGGCGTCTTTGGGGCGCCAAAAGGTCTTCAGAAACGTCACCATTTGGCGACCTGTGAATTTAAAAGGATCACCGCTGCTCTCTCTCTTCCTCTCGTGGCAGCTTTTGGTTATAAATCTGACTGAGGGTCTGCAGGTTTTTTCTAAAAACTTCAATACTTTTTGATATTTTGGTTCTGTTAAATAATGAACACCAGCGCTTTAAAACATGTGGTATCAAAAAAGTATCACAGTATGAAACATTTTGACGACCTTAGTGCCACGAACAACATTCATCTTTGTCTAGACAACATTATCAGAGAGGAAAAGGCTGAAAATATTTCCTAATTTCAGGGCATTCAAAGCAGTCAGTGTTTTACTTTCTTTACTGCGAGCTGGTCGAAGCTGCCTGACCGTCTGTTTTTTTTAGATTGAGCATAACGAGAGTGAACCGGTGATGTTGTGGAAGTCGTTCCCGGACAGTCAGAGAGTTCAAATAACTCCGGTCTGATCTGACATTTTAATATTAAACCCTTGGATTGATCTCGTTCTCCTTCGGTTAATAGAAAGAGGCTCTGACCACGCTTTACATTTACCTTAAAAACAACATGATAAGTATTAAACACCCGGCTAATGCCCTTAAAGCCGGGTGTTTTCAGTTTGCAGGTTATAAAATAAAAAAGCTCTTCACTGTTTCTGCCTCTGACAAAGCAGTGCTGCTCATCCAGTGCTCGGTTCATGGCGTCTATCGTAAAAGTCAGACTGTATACAGAATGGACAACGCTCCTCCACCTCCCCCTGTTGTGCAAAAATGAGTCCAAAATCCCTCCTCTCATCGGCGCTGACATTTGAGCTTGTGGTATCATAATTTGCGTAGTAGAGACCCTGCTACTGTTGTGATGCCCCGTCCAGATTCTTGTTGGTTTTGAAGGAGAAACTCATTACATTAATGGTTATTTTGATAGTTTTTATAACGTGTTCTCTCGCCATTTCTCCTCTACTCTGCTAACCTGGTTCACACAGCGCGTTGCCGCATTCGTCAACAGAGCTGTCAATCATAGCACTTTTATAAAGCATCAATTAACTACTGTAGAATCTAAAATATGAGTTGCATGGGTGATTAAGACTCAAGGGTCACCCAAAAGGTTAAAAGATTTAATGGTCTTCCTGCATGATGATATTTACCGTGTTCAGAGTCAGCGTCCAGTTTCTGTGCATGCGAAGGAGGCACTCTGCCCAGCGCAGCTCGTTGCTTGATGTCGGTCTTTTCGATCAAACCAGCACACCACAAGATTTATCTATTGAGGAGTAGCCCACTATTTTCTTTAAATATAAGATAAAAGCTGCAGTCAGCCTGATGCTCGCCGTTGTATTCAGTGCAGCACACTTTACACAGCGAGGCGGCTGCTTGCAGTACACTTCAAGTCGTGTCAGGTAGCGTGCAGTGGGAGAGGGTGGACGCTACAGTTGCGGTCAAATGGCGCATGTCAGTAACATACCTCTAGATGGATAAGAGCGGCATAAAATACCTGTAATGAGTTGCATCAGTATTGAGGGCTAAGACTTGTTTTTTTTTCGCTGGAAAAAAAATGGTATGAAAAGCGCGTCCTACACACTAAATGTATTAACACCAAATTTGACTGTAATTCAAAATAAACTTCTCAGAAAAGATGACTTGAACACAAATCCTCACCACGACGCCAGTGGGTTTGATTATCGTCTGTTAACAAGGAGGGGGCGGGGCTTATGTCAGATTCTGCAGCCAGTCAGTAGGAGGAGCTCTGAATATTTGGACTTCACTTGACGCGAGGTGTTTCAGCGTCCATTCTTCATACAGTCTGTGGTTGGAACTAAATGAATTGTTGTGTTTTCACGCGGCAGTGAGTTGTTGAAAGCTTAAACAACATTCATAAACAAATGTTTAAAACTCAAGTTCAACTTTTCGTTGACGCAGCGGAGAACGACACAAACCTGTAAATACACATTTTCTAGATATTTACCAAACTTTGGGAGCGCCTCGATTTTGTAGAAGCTTCGAGAAGAGGTTTGCCCTTTTTAATTATGCAAATTCACAGAAAAAAATTATAGATGAGGACGCCAACCAACCCACTGGTAGGAATGTTTTCAGTAGTTTTTTTTTTTTTTTTTAAACCATGTTTCTGATCGGACAAAGAGGAGGATTTCTGTTGCAGCTGTTTCACGACTTCTTACTTCACTGTACCATTCTTTGATTTGATTGGTCGTTGCCGGATGGTTTGTCCCGCTCTGTTTTCTCGCCCCTTCACAGCTGTGCACCATCAACATGGAGTTTTTTGTTTTCTTTTTTTTTAATGTGAAGACTGTTTTTCCTTTTAGTTTTCTTTTCTTTTCATGCATGTTGAGATGACCTGGCTGGTTTTTATCCTTGTTTTTATCAGTTTGTATTGATTTGTGGATTTAAAAACAAAACACAAAAAAAAGAGAAAAAAAACTATTGTTCAACCTGCAGAGTCAAATTTTGGTATATAATTTGATGTGTACAATAACTTGTGACATTATCAACAGAACTATTATAATACTTTACTAACATGTCAATCAAATATGTAACGGTCATGTACGTGTTCTTTTTTCTGTTCTGCAGTTTGTTAGCCGGGCCGGCGCTGAGGTTGCTCCCTGCTGTGTTGCCCGTCTTTTAATGCTTCAAAAATGCCGTCATTGATCGGCAGAATCTTTTCTTTTTTTTTCTTTACAGGCGTTGTTGGCTAATCTCTGAAGTCGTGCAATACTAATATTTCACCGCTTCTTCAGCTACACTTTTATTTATTTTTGAAGCAGAGGAGATTGAGCCAAAGACATTTTTAAAGGGATTTTTTTTTTTTTTTTTTTTGGGTTCATTTCCATCATTTGTTTCCCAAATCCGTTTGACGGGATCTCAACTCTTAGAGTCTTTACTCTTTGCAATGAAGTGGATTTTAATTCATTTCTCGCCAGCAGATACCATCCTATGAATCTTTTTTTTTTCAACAGCCGTCTGTGTCGTCTCTAAGGAGACCACAGCGAACCCAGCGTTTGTGTGTGTGCGCGTGTGTCGGGCACACGTACAGGGAGCAACCTCTTGCCCAGCCATTAGAGAGCACTGTGTTCAGCCTTCTATAAACGCCACATCTCTGCACCGTTCTCTGTTCGCTCTCCTCTGTTGTCCCCCCCCCCCTCCCCTCCGCTGCAGTGAATCAATGGCACACCTGTTCTCCCAGTTCTCCCACTCCCATTGGTTCCTCCCTCGTGGGTACAAAAATAATGAATAGATCTGTTTTACTCTTCTTCATTTCAATTGGTGGTGGTTATAATAAAGGATTTAGACTGTGTTTCAAAGGTTTATTTTCTTTTTTTATTTGTTTCTCTATTAAAGTGTTTTTATTGAAACTGCTCGACTTCTCGCTTTTTGTCATCCTCTGGATTTAACTGCACTCGACTGGGGAGCCTTGGAGCCCGAATAGGAAACATGAGGCGGGTCAGTTTCTACAAGAATTACTGTATGAGTTTAGTTTAACATCGACTTGAAGCTCCATAAAGGCAATGTTGGTAATTTCCACCAGATTCACTTTTTAAGATTTTGGTTGAAATTGTCTTTAGGTCCTGACAGAAATTAATAACTCATGTTCTCTGAAAAAGGTACAAAGAAAATCTGTCATCTGCAGCAGTTGTAAGCCTGTAAAAACTTCAACCAATGTCTGCCACGAGGTACCAATCTGAAAAACCAATTACGTCTCCCTGCTCGCTCTCTACCTCTTGCATGTTCTAGCCCACACTCAAAGCGTTTCATCGATGATGGAGTTTATACTGTGAGTTTACTTACTGCTGAATGAGACATGAGATGACGTAGTTTCTACACAATGTAAGAGATGATCTCAGGTCTGGGGTAGGTGTAGACATAGCACTGAGGGAATGCTACTTTCAAAATCATGCTAGTTTTCAGCAATGACCAACCCTGCCTTTAAAGCATTCACAGTGAGCAAAAAATACTTTTATTGAACTACAACCCGTGAAAGGTTAAGACGTGTTGTATGTATGATTTATTAAAGATGGAAACAGCATGAAGACGACATGTCAAATGTTGAAACTGCGAAACAGTTTTTAGAAAATGTCTCATTTGGATTTGATGTTTGAAACAAAATGAGGACAGACAAAAGTTTTCTCAAAGCGTCTTAAGATTTTATTTCATTACAAAGAAAGCATATAATAAACACAATCTAAATGCATTCAAAAACCTCAAACCTTGTTTGTTTTTTTACTTCCTTAAACTTCACTTGTTTCCTCGTAAAACAAACAGGAGAAAAGTAACTAAGTTAGTAAATGTTAAGTTAAAAGAGATGCAGTGAGAAATAACACGTCCTGAACGAGCTCAGAGCACTGAGGGTTTCAGTTTGACAAACAGCAGCAAGTTGACACTTTCAAACTGTTAAATCTACTGGACACCAACTTTTTCATAATGCCAGAACTTGGCTGGCGTCAACATTTTTTATTGAGGCCAATTAGCCCCTGAAAAAGAAATGTACACTGAAGTGAAACTGAAGCAAAAAAGCAGCTTGAACTGTGAAAAATGTTTCAAAGATATAAAGTTCTTTAAGCTGTTATTGACTAAGCTGTTTTTCCTACTGAGCTCACATGATTGTTCTGTCATAGAAAGTTAGAATTTCACAACTTGATGTGCGGCATTACTTGGCACAACTCCACCACTCAGGGCTTTCACACTTGCAGAAATCTCCTGAAAAAGAAGGAGCTGTATGTGTGAACGAAAACTAACAACATTTTTCACTTGGACTTCACCCGGAGTTTCTCCTCCAGCCTCTTAGTATTTTTTTCCACAGAAGGTCTGAGTTAGCTGATGTGAGAACGCCGCAGGATATTCTCCGGAGAATTCAGCTCGAGCTAATAGAAGGGGGAGTCACGTTTCTATACTGTGACTGCTGCTAGGTGCATAGAGTGTCTGCAGGCAACCTCTATGATCTCTGTGCACGTTATTAAACGGCTGCATTATATTTTCTGTTCTCCGGTCTTTTATTGATTCTGTGATTCCATTGGACTACACATAGTATTGATATAAAGGCAAATGTTCTCATTATAGCATCATAAAGCGGACTCTGTTGCTTTGTCCGCTACTTCTGCGTCTTTTTTTTAACGTCACGTCTTGCCTCAGGAGACCCCCCCCCCTCCCGTCTGACAGGGATAGTCTCCCGCTGTGAGGAGCTTAATGTGAACAGCCAGGTCAGGAGAATATCCGCAGCAGTGCTCCTGAAAATCCTGAAAATATCTAGATATCTAGATTTTTTCGGGAGTACAGATGTGAAAACGTCATAAGTGCCTTCCTGTGCTTCTGCAGCCAGCCTCTAGTGGACACTCGATGAACTGCAGGGTTTTGCATTTCCGGATCGGCTTCATTTTTCAACATCGAGGTTGCTGCTTGGTCATACCCTGCCTCCTCCTGAGACTCCCCACTCTTGTTGTTATAGGGAAAGTCTAACGCTGTGAACATGCAGCTCAGGAAGATTTCAGGTGCAGCTTATCCTGAAATTTTCTAGAAATATTCAGGAGTGCATGTGTGAAAAAAAGTCTCTAACAGCCGCGCTGATCAGTGCCTGTAAATCGGCCAAAGGTTGGCATTGACGATTATGCTCGCTCTGGGGGGTTTCATTCCAAACAACGAAGCTGCTTGACACAAAATGTGTTGTGCTGACACATGAAAGAGAGCGGACATTTTTTTATGCATCGGTTTGGTTTGTGAACTGAAAGTAAAAGGCCTTGTTTGTGCACCTGCTAGAACTGAACCTTTTCCAGCATGATCAGTGCTGCAGACTGTGTGGGTGTTTAACATTCAGACACATGCACACACAAACACACACATAGACACAAACCTGCTATGTGCTGCTGCTTTGCTTCAAACCAGTCATTTATTCATGACGCTCGGACCGAAATGAGGCAGTTTGCATCTTTAAAGGTTCTTCATAAAATCTTAAAAATGTACAGCTAGACGTTTGAACACACACATTCACTTGCTTTTCTTACTCACTTTAATTCCCTTGATTCCTTGAGCATACAAAAATCAACAAACAAACATTATATATGTACAAGATATCATACACAAACATTAGAAGAATCAAATAAACTCCCTTACTGCCATGGCCATGACTGTGTCATTCTTTATACTCGAAATGTAAATTAAGGTGAAGCATATTGAGGTATGTAGACCTAAGAGGATGCATAATTATAACATTAAGGGCACCAAACCAAATTCTAAGGAGGTGTTGCAGGCCGTGGTTGTTCATATAGAGTAAGGATCCTGGCCTCATTACACCTGGTATTAACGCGCATCGTTCATTGAGATCCGATCACTCAGACGACATTTAAAGACGGTCTGAGACTCGTGTGTTCACTTTCATCTGGGGGTGTGAATGTTAAGTGTCCCGGGACCAGTGAAGGGCCGCCTAGTCTCTGTCCCCATGGCGATGTTTGCATGAAGTGACTGACATTTGTTGTCTGATTGAAAATGTATCTGCTGTTTTTAAATTCTTGTATCGTTCCAAGCATGTGAAAAGGTATTCTACAATTAAAGTGGGCCGCGTTTGAAAATACAGGACATATACAGGAGCCAGTATGGATTCAGTAACGGGAAAAACATATTATTTTTTTAATATAGGTTGATCCCCTGCAGAGTCGAGGAAAGCAGAGAAAGGAAAGGGGTTGTCAACATATTCACATGTGACCTCAACACATGATTTGTAACGCCAATGATGAATCATGATGAATCACAGCCTGTACTGTGATTCATCATGATCTCATTTTCTAATTGAACGTTTTTACACATCGCTTAATGTCTCTTATTAGTTTGATTACTTGATTCTTTTCATAAAGGACACAAAGAAGATGTATATTTATTTCAAATAAAGCAAGGAGTTCAAATCTATTTTTGTTTTTAAAAGGCTACATGAGACATGTTTTGGAAACACATGTCAATACAAGATGTGCTCCTCCGAGCTGTCGATTTATGATCAGCTAACCCAGGATGAAATTTAAAGTCCCCATGAAATGGAAATCACATTTTCCCAGTTTGAATCCAGCGTCTGCCAAATACAGTCCAATAAAGTATTTAACATCTACTGTAAGTTACTGTATTTTCTCTTACTGTAAAACATTCCTGTTCAAAAGTCTGATGACTCATGCTGCCGTCAGGGGCGTTTACAAATTTTCAACCAATTAAAAAGTTTTGTCTAATTTTTATGCCATGTTTGTTGTGATACACCTACTCTTTAGCGATCCAATCAAATTCACCCTTACATTATGTCCCACCTCCCATCTTGTGATTGGTTCTGTTTCAGTAGAAAATACTCGCAGACGCGGTAGGTGAATACTGTTGAAGTTCCGTTTCATGGGGACTTTAATACCAGGTGTACCCGGGGCCTCTGACAAAAGGCCCATGTTCAAGTTGGTTTGATTTGCAGTGAGGTATGTTTCCCATCATAGCTATCACTCCACTTGATCCGGCTCGGCGTCCATGCACGTCTCCCACGGGTTCCTGGGCATCTGCGGCATGGAGAGGATCAGGAGGGCGAAGCCGGTGAGGAAGAGGAGCACGAAGCCGGCGCAGGCACAAGCGAAGGACCAGGCGTAGTAGTACTCGATCCAGATCGTGTCCTCGCTCTCGATCATGCGTTTGACAGACTGACGCATCACCTCCAGTGAGATGAAGGCGCAGAGACCTGGGAAGGAGAACCAGGTGTGCCAACTTCAGAATCCTCACTGGCAAAGTAAGCAAGAAAATTTAAAATGGTCCTCGTTAACTGGACTCACCTGCAAATGCGAAAAACATGCCAGCCGGTTTGAGGAGGTAGTCTCGTCCTTTGCCTTTACCGGTGCATGAGCCCATCAAACACAGAGAGCCGAGGATCATGAAGGCCAGACTGAAGATGGAGATGGCTGCAGCTGAGATGTTATACTCTGCAAAGAAAGATAAGAGTGTTAAAGGAGCAATATGTAGGTCTGACACCTAATGTTTAAAATGGGAACTGCAGTCCATATTCAAAAAAATTGAAGAGAGCTGTCTGACTCCGACCCCTCCTCCCAAAGCTCTCGCAGGTTGCCATGTGTTGGACACTGACCTAACCTCTAACCTCTCTCCATGTTTCAAAAGCATCTCCAATATTGATCTTAGTTTGAGCACGTTTCTGCTCGTGGAGCTTATTAGAAACATGCAGAGGCTTTTTAGGTACAATCACTTCTATCTGAACCACTTCTCTTGCCCACCTCCATCACTGCAACACCTGTTGGTTTGTTGTTTACCTGGCAAACCGAGGGGCGTCCAAAAAAGGGCTCGTGTGGGTGCCTTAAAACCGCCTACCTCTGAAGAGAAAAGAGCTTGATTTCACATGGCATTACTCAACATTATATAATATGAGGACATATTTGATATCTGCTATAGTGATATTTGAACTCTCACATGTATCTTTAACATTTGACTACTTGTAACTTTGCCGCTGTGTTCCCAGCTCCTGAGCGTCTGTGTGATCGGGACAGCAGCTCGCTTGTTTTTCGCAGCAGAGAGGTGGATGGGATGCAGGCCCTTTGATCTGCCTCCTGTTTGCCTGTGAACCATGCCCTGAGGAAACACATTCCTTTGGGGCAAAGGGCCTTCATCTCCTGCTGGCAGAGGAGGATGGGCTGCACCCTGCACAGTCTGTGCTCTTTTGAGATACTGCACTGCACGTCTTTGGAGCTCGTTTTCTGGCTGGCTCGGCCTGAAACACCTTTACATCAAGAGCCAGGTAGACATCAAACCTGTGTTTCAGTCATACAGGACTTACTCTACTGTACAGCTAAAGGGTTTCACAGTTCTCAGGAAGAAGTGAGCGACATGTAGAAGAATATCAAACCTGTATCCGGGAATAAAAAAAGGGCTTCATTCAGTCCAAAAGGGGTTTGAGTTTGAAGTCCCAGTATTGCAGGATATGTTTTTAGAAAGTATTCATGGGTATGTATGCAGATGTTTGTAGGTTTATAACATCATTCCTACCAGATCATGGACATACTAACCACTGCATTCCTCATATAACTATCAATACGCCTTCAGGTTAAGTTGTTCTTCTCTGTCTTTACATACACACAAGTGGACTGTAGTGGTGTTTTCACACATGCACAAAACTCCAGAAATTTCCCGGATGAGCAGCATCTGTGAACACAAAATCACAAATATTTCACCCCAACTTCAAGATCTTGAAGATCTTCAGCCAAGTCCAGTTACGGACTTGGATTATTATTTTAAGATCGCTTTTGGGCCTTTTTATCCCTTTCTATGGATAGGACGGTGGATAGAGTAGGAAACCAGGTAGAAAGAGAGAGAGAGAGAGTAGGGAATGACAGGCAGGGAAGGAGCTGCAGGTTGTACATGAACCCAAGGGTCCTGCTTGGAGGACTATAACCTCCCTACATGGTGCCCGACCTAACCGCCATCTGCGCCCTTACATAGCATTGATATAAAATTCCATTGGACTCTGTTGCTTCGTCCATAACTTTCTTGTTGTTCTTGTTACATCATGTCTTGCCTCCTCAGACCCCCACCTCCCATCTGACAGGGAAAGTGTCCCGCTGTGAGGTCCATAAGTGAAAAAGCAATTCAGGAAGAAAAGGCCCTGCACGATAACAATACCATCCAAAAACTGCAACCTTCTGTTGCGTTTTGTCTGTTTGTTCACACGACGACATCGAGTGGGGTGCCTGAAATCCGAAGGCAAACGAGTGTGGGTGCCAGAGTGCAGACTTTTGGAATCAGCGTTCTTCCCAAAAACTGAGAGACATCTGAATGAAGTTTATGTTGACATTTTGTAAAGTTACTCACTGTTAAAATAATATAAAGAGCTGAAAACATTTTAACAATGTCCTCAACTGAATATTCTCAACTTACATACATCTTTCCACTTAATTTCTCTCTATACTGGAGACTCCCCCAGAGCAGATAAGAGGTTTACCGTGTGGATGTTTGTGCATGTGGTGACACAGTGTACGTCCACTGTGTTCATTCAAGCGTATGCACCATTATGGTATCACGAATGATTCATTCAAGGGTGAATAACTCAAGAGGGGGCTCAGGTCGCTTCTGCAATCATTACAGCTAACTTGTAATGTGTCTCTTAGAGGCTAGCCTTCAGCTGAGGGAAGACCTGTGTGTGTGTGTGTGTGTGTGTGTGTGTGTGTGTGTGTGTGTGTGTTAGTTGTTGGGGGAAGGGTACCCATGAATGCCTCCATTAGCATGTCAGTGTTTAGGATGCGGGGGTGTGCCGGACATCATGTGAAAGACTATTCAGATTTACACCCCAATAATTGAGTCTGACAGTCCTCCACTCACTTACGCACTATACATAGAAGGCCTGTCATACAACATGCACTGGCCGGGCTCAGTGGGCTCGCAGCTTTAACAGGGTCACTGGAGGGGGAGGGGGTGCTGGGTGGAAGCAATGGAAGACGGAGGGAACGGGGGCGTGGGTTACTAACACACAACCGCTTTAAGTGTTTATTGAGCTTTATGTGGTTGACATGTCGTGTTTAAAAGACAAAGTATGAAGCAGTGCACCCGAGGCTGGTACCCCCCACCCCACCCCACCCCCACTTATTGTGTATAGTTTACTACTACCAATACTACTACATCTATTTGCACTTCCACTACGGCTACTTATAAGAAGAAGCAGAAGAAATATGTCAATAAAATAAGTCAATAAAACAAAGAAGAAGACAGAGGCTGAAATACACACACAGGATCATATGGACATTTACTAATGGAGAGATGTCAGAGTGAGGGAGCTGAATGTGGTGGTGCCCCTGGGCTGGTTGTGGTGGTGGGGGGATGCTTGCTCAAGGACGCCTTGGCGGTGCTCAGTAAGTGAACTGGCAGCTCTCCAGCTATCAGACCAATTTCCAGACTTGAACCAGCTTTGTTGAGCCATCTTCCTCAAAGAAAGCCGTGTGTGTTGAACTCTCTTTATGGTATCCACATGACGTATGCTATAAAGTATCCACCCCTCACCCCGTAGCCTTCATGAAGCCAACAACAACATATTTTCAAAGTCCATAAATCTTCTGATATCATTTGTGACAAAAAGAAAACTAAACATTTGCACAAATGTAAAACAACTGATGATCCTTGTGCACTTACGGGCTCTGTTTTGGCTCAAGGATGGAGCTCTCAGTTTTCACTCCATGGACACACTGACTTTTGGGAAAAGACAATGAAGCCTATATTGTCTCTGACCCAGGATTTAATGATGTCCTGTTCAGAGTTTTGTCACTGCTAGCTGGTTGAAATTCGCCTGCAGGGACAGTGCCGGCTGTGCTGCGGTTAGAAGTGACACATGAATTTACAAAAAGTGTACCCAAAGAGAGCGGAGCTGCAGAAGGAGCAGGAGCAGGTCACATGGGAAACTGTGAGGCAGGCAGTTTGATGTTTGACTTTAAAGGACATTCAACATAACATGTGTAACTGGCTTCAATGTAACAATGCTGCCGGTGCAACAACTGATGAGGAAACTGAAAACCTGCAACATGATCACAAATCAGTCTCCCTTTTAGTCATTTCAAACATGGAGGTATTACCTCCATGTCACAGGATGGTTAAGGTGTAACCACCATTACCTGAAACGTACCTTTTTGTGTTTTATATTCGAATATCTCCGCGTCCTGCCCGGGAGTGAAGTGTCTGAAGTACGTACAGTTCTCCTCTGTGGGAAAAAAAAAAGAAAATCAGATTTAGTCCAACAGTTTTACCTGCTTCATGTTTTGTGGTTTTCTTCATGGGGACAGATGTAAACACATTTTTTATTTTATCACAGCATAAAGCTCTCATGGCCTCATGTCATTTAAAACAGCTTCCTATGAACACACACAGAGCGAGCATCACATGTGGAGGGACAACAGTGGCTTTCTGAAAGTAATATGTGAATGGTAAATGGACAGCAGCAAGATCTGGATTATTGTTGCTTTTGTAAGTTTCTTAAAACTTAACAAAACAAGCTGTAAAAACAAACCTGTGAGCTGAAAAGCAAAAAAATAAAAATGATAATAAAAATAAAAAGCTCCATAGATGGAAAAAAAAAGCTCTGCAGATAGGATTGGGTTGTCACAATACAAATGTATTTTTTACAATGAAAGGACTGCACAGGATTAATAAATATAACATGACAGGGTAACATAGGGAGAAGATGACCAATGACATGTAAAAAAGACAAAAAACACAAACAAGCCTAAAAAGAAAAAAACTACACGATAAAGCAATGCACACACACACACACACACACACACACACACACACACACACACACACACACACACACGCACACCTCTCCTCTCTCTTATATCCCACAGCTCACCCTCCTGTCACTGTTTCTTTACACCGAATGTGTCTTATCTTTTGATGTTAGGCTTCTCATCAGCAGTACGTTTTATAAAGACGCCCAAATGACCCAACTCGCTTCTTCAGAAGGTTTGACTCAGATGTTCTGTTAAAGGCTTAATATGCAATTTTTTGATCCAGTAGATGTCGTCCTTGAGCACCAGCATGAAACCAAAGCAACTAGCACTGCATTGTTGTGTTAGCATGCTAATGCTAGCGACCTAGAAATGCTTACGTGACATTCAAATAAGCAGTGAGTACAGTATGTTCGTCTTCTTTTCTCTAGTCCCGCAATTAAACAACTTTTATATGCGAGGGGATGAGCTGGCTGGCCATCCCGACGATGTAAACAAAAATGTAGCTACGGCTAGGAAAGGGTGTTACACCCATTGTAGACAGTCATGACTCACAGAGTTATTTTCAGAGGATATACTTGATTTCTATTATATTTAAATGTGAAAAAAATGCATATTAAGCCTTTAACACAAACAGCTGATTAGCATGTGGACTTGGTTTGTAATATGAGCTACATAAACTGTTTTTTTTTGCCAACTCTCTGTCTTAATTCATCTTCGTCCACAAACTGGCCTGCACTCATTTGTAGGGATGTGTTTCTTCTTTGCTTAACTCTTTCACACCTCTGCCACCGCATGCTTCTGCCCTGTCAGCTGTACTCCACCTGCTGCATTACACTGTGAGCACCAGATACTTCTAAAGCTCCCTGAGCCCCCTCACATTGTTTTCTAAAAACCTCTCACGTCATTGGCACCAGCAAAGGGTTAATACGACCACTAAAATTAATGATGTCGTGCAGAGCCTGGTCTGCTTTTCGTCGATTGACTGTCAGAGTTAAAATGGATGCAGCAGTCTTCACATTGAATTTTTTGTCTACCAGACGAGGTGTTAATCCTCGGGGATTTGCACAAATGAAGTCAGACTGCTTTGTGTGATCACAGGGTGCTCTGCTTAAGGAAATAGTCTTTAATTCGCTACCAAGTGTTAAAAAATGTCAAACAGTACAGGCTTGGTCTGCTGATAGATCTTGATAACTTGACTTTTATTATACGGCATACCTCCAGTTGGGGTTTAATAATGCAAACATGTTAAAAAGTAGAGGATGTGCAGGCGTGTGAGACTTCCTGTAACATGTCTGAAAAACACACTTAAATTCAGGTGATCGTATGTAGGGAGTGCGAGAACATTTATGTCACTTGCATGACTTCTGGCTGGTATGTTCCCTAATCCCCCCCCCCCATACAGCCTCACCGGGGAACGTCAGTGCAATGCTTTCATGTGAAAATATGCAGAACTGCATGCTATCGGATCACTGAGGACAAGCTGAAAGGCACGCCAGTCTGCTCCAAAAAGGAAACGGTCATTTGATCTAAATAAGCACAAACAAAATCTCAAAAAACGTTGAAATGTTTACAAAAGCCTCTCTTGAAATGTTGGACTTTTTTAATGCTGGGTGCCATGTCGTGTTGGCCCACATAGGAAAGAAATGTTTTTATGAATGAGGACAGGGACCGGCTATCATAAACAAACATAAATACAGAGGTCTGTTGCTAGGCAACAGGCTTCACTAATTTCACTGTAGAAAGCACATGTATGAGGGTACGATAGAGGCTGGCAACTAGTTGCACTGTCGAGCAACGCAGCAAGGAATGACATCAGTCTCTTAACCCCCTCAGCCCATCCTTTATTGACATACGTACATTTTGCAGCTTGTGCAATTTGATTGGTGGGTTTGTAACTTGTGCGATTGAATATGTTATATAAAAATATACAAATGCTATCCAAAAAGTTTCTTTCTCTTCTTTTAGATTTTTTTGGGGCTTAATTGGAGAGACAGTACAGTGGATAGAATCGGAAATCGGAAAGAGAGAGAGAGAGAGAGAGAGAGAGGGGAATGATGTGTGGGAAAGGAGCCCAGACTCAAACCTGGGCCGTCAGCTTCAAGGACTAAACCCTCTGTACATTGGCTGCACAAACTAACCACATGGCCACCACTTCGCCTCCAAGGCTTGGTCCCTAACATACCTCACATCACAGGAAAATCTGGCAAGATAACCTGAAGAACCCTAAAAATAAACCCTTTTCACATATGGAAATCTCCTGAAAAACTCTGGAGATTTGATGTCTGAACGCGGCCGAATATACTCCAGAGGTTTTCAATTTGAGCCAATAGAAAGAGAAAGACGTTTATATACAGTGACCGGCTAAAGTGTCTTCCCGCGACCTCTACGATCTCTGTAATTAAATTGCTGCATTATGTTTTCTGTTCGTCAGTATGTTGTTCTCCACTCTTTTGTGGATGTTGTCATTCCATTGGATTACACAAAGCATTGAAATAAAGGCAAATATTCTCATTATAGTGTTGTGTAGCTACGGCCGATACTTCCACGTTGTTTATTTATGTCACGTCTTACGTCGGGAAATCCCCGCAGCCCTTCCCCTCTGACAGGGAAAGTCCTCCGCTGTGAGGAGCATATGTGAACGGCTAGTTCGGGAGAATCTCCGGAGCGTTCCTCCTGTAAATAATTAGATATTATCCGGAGTGCATATGTGAAAACGGCTATATGGAGCCTTGCTTACTTTTGAGGGGAGGGAGAAATCCGGCCCAAAATCAGCTTGAATATTGTGCTGTGTGCCTGGCATTAGTTAGATTACTAAAATGCTTGTGTGGTTGAGACATTGTGTTGTTCTAAATGAAAGAACAGGCCGTTAGTTAGCTTAGTGAGCTTAAAGTAAGCTTCTCTAATATGCTGTACCTTAACTAATGCTAGCTCCAAATGAAAAGCAGCTGCTAGCTAGCATGAGTTGTGTGTGGCTGTGTCCGATTCAAACGTGACAGAAATCAAGCAGCCCTGCAGTCGTTTTATCAGAAATCATCAGCACCTGCTATAAAGACATCCAGCCTCCCATTGCTTCTCCAGTCACTATTCCCTTTGTGCAGCATCTTCTTCTGAGCTAGACTTTGCGTTCAAAAATGAAGCTGAAAATGTTGCCTGAAATTCACTCATTCTTAAAAACGTTGAATATTCATGATTTTAAGGAAATGCAAATCCAGCCTCTGTCTACTTCATCCCTTTTAAAAGCAGGCGTCCCCTTCTGGCTGCAGCCTCATCTCATCATAAGACGACTGTTTTAAGGTCCTAACATCCAGCAGGCCAAATGGCTTAATGCAAATCTAGTGTTTCATTTATGTTTCAAGGGGAGCCACTCAGCTCTCATTAGGCTTTGGGTTGGATGCTCTGACTTCATTATCTGTATCAAGCAGATACTCATGAGTGTGTTGTTTAATTACACCTTTGTAGAACCATCTTTAGGCTCGCTTCAGACAGATGTGTGATGGCTCTGGCCGTCAAACATCGCTCATTGTATTCACTACGGCTGCTTGTTGGCTGCATGTTAGCTGTGCCTCCCTGCCGTCAGCCCGGACTTTCTTCACAAGTTTAACCTCTATAACGTCCATAAATTATATACATATCATAACATTTCTGGGCTTTATAAATGTTATAAATATTTAGTCCTTCAGAAAAGGGTAGAGAGACATGTGCTCAACCGTAAAAAACATAATCTCTGAACCAGAGCTGCGCAATTAATCGCGTTATGAGCCTTCACAATACACCACACACCTAACAAAAGTCTGTATTTATCGCAATAAATATAAAACACTCTAAATGTAGAGGCAGGCAGGTAGATGCTTTCTCACTCAGCATGTAAATATTTTACCTGTTGGACAGAGGCTTGAGTTTAATATTTATGCTAACACTAACTGTCAGCTAGCCTTGGATTAACTGGTGCAACTGAGCCGACTGTTTGACACAGTCACAGTTCAAGTGTCTTCATACGTTTTGGGGGAATTGGCTTATCGTACTTATATAAAAAAACAGATCAATCATTCTGATAAAGGCAGTCAGATAAAAGTGCAAAAAACAGCAGCACAAGAAGAATAGCGGAAGAGACCTCACATTATTAACCTGATGGACTTATTTAAGATTTATGACTTCCTTTTTTTTTTTGCGTATCCAGGGGTGCTTTTGGGTGTCTCTTTCTGCTAAACAAATCTTGTGGGTGAGTTTTATCCGCTTACCATCTTTAACCATTTTTAACAGCTGCTTATTTAACAGACAGGACAAAAACAAATCTTCAAGCACAAGGAGAACTGTAGAGAGGAAGACAGGCAGACAGAGAGAGAGAGAGATCATATCGACCTGAACCTGATTATTTATTGCAGCCATTATTTATTGATTCAACATATTGCAGCCTCCTCTGTTTTATGACTTTGTTTTATTTCATTTGCATTAAACTCATGTGGGGAACCCA